GAGTCAATGAATTATGTCTAATCACAATTAAATGGTGGCAGTAAATTGTGTAAATGTGAAATAGAGATGCTTATTTGTAAACATGCAGTGAATATGTGCCATAGAAGCACTTCTTATTGGGGTTTCCACCCCACCACCCCAGCCTGGTCCTCAGTGCTGAAGAAGCATGAGTTTCCACTTGGAGGTGTTTGCTGCATAAGTGACAAACATGTTTCACTTTGTAAAGTTTGAACTGAGCCTCAGAGATGCATGTGAAGAGAGGCAGCTGAGGAACAAATGGGATTTTTGTTCACTTTTATGATGTTAGTGACTAACCAAGGCAGCTTTGTGTCATTATCCTTAAATGGAATAAGTGGGATATTTGTGCAGTTGCTACTGTCACTGTATGCTTGCCATCTTCAGGCCTTCTGGTTCCTTCCATCAACGTTATAGAGTTCATAAGGTGAAAGGTTGATATAAAATGTGGCGACTGATTAGCTTGTTCACCTCACTTGATTTCTCATTCTTTAACTCTTGGCAAGTGAAATGACTGCCATGAGAAGAGCTTTGCCTCTATGGTGACCTCTGGTGAGAGGGACATTTTATCCCTGGTGCTAGATCTGTGATAGCTCATTCACACATGCACGTTGTCACTGTTGCAGGCACCAAGCTATCAACATGTGTGTGGGAAGCAGACTCAAGTGAAGCCAACTTATGGAAAAATCAAATTTGGGATGAGGAACAAACTCCACCCACCTATTTCTGCATGCTTCCTTGCCGTGTCCACAACATCTGGTTGGCCTTGACAGTTTGGGGAAAACTGTCCCACAAAGCAGAAAACGTTTGAACAATGGTTTCCTTCTTGTGCTAACCCCTCATTCCTTTCCATCTCCTTCCCTGTTGCCTTTCCTACGGTCCAGAGACAAATGTTTGGAAAAGGCCGCAGAGATGAGGTCATTGCTGGGTGCAAAAGTGACAGGCAGGAAAGCTGGCTACATCACCCTCTGCTTGGTAAGCCCTTTTTCCCATGAAGCAGATGTGAGGTTATTTCCCTCTCCCCAGCAGCACAGAGACATCAGCACTTTGGAGACTGTGCTGTTGTGGTAAAGCTTCAAGAGTGCAGATAAGACCCCGAGACGTGGAGCCATCAAAATGCGAATGTCTCGCGCTGGGTTCACATTCCTGCCTTTCTTTCTTTTTTAACTATTTATTTGAATCAAGGCACAAGTTTATAAACAAGAATTCAAGAGGCGGCAGACCCCTGGACACAGCGAGAAAGGGCACAGTGTGGCTCATTAGTTGCTGACCCAACATAATTCTTCATTTCATTTCTGGGGCTGAAACCATTGGAAGCATTGGGGAGGCGGTTTATAAATTCTTCAATAAAGAAACAAACAAATTATTTATTATACCCCACCCATCTGACTGGGTTGCCCCAGCCACTCTTGGCAGCTTCCAAGAAAAATGCAGAAGGAAAGTGGGCGAATCAAACATTAAAAGCTTCCCAAAACAGGGCTGCCTTCAGATGTCTATGAAAAGTTATATAGGTCTATAGAAGCAAAAACATGTCTTTGGAATTCTGCCCCCCCCCCACTTAGGTTTGCAGGAATATGAAAAATCTTTAAGCAGGGCTGAAAAGAAATCAATACGATCCATTTGTGCTCAGTAGAGCAGGGTATGGCTGATTGACTGGGACTCTGAACACGCTGATCTGTTTTGTTACATCTCCCTCTCAGATCTTATACAAAAGCAGTATCGTTCAGGTCTTAATTTGTGCCAAGTGTCACTCCTGGTTTCTGTTTTGAACGCTGAACCTTAGAAAATATGGAGCAAGGATAGGCAGTTTAGCCCTGACATATGTGAAAGATAACTCCATCAGGTCAGTGGGTGCTGCTTCCAGGTAGACGCATGCCACCTTGATGATGGACATTAGCCAAGCTAGAGTGCACCAGTTCAGAGCTATTTACATGAGAATGCGGCTGGGATTTCATTCTCACAGACTACCCAGATCATTTCTGAAAGGCCATGTAGTAGCTGAACTTAAGCAACTTTGCTTTGCTTAAGAGAAATGCAAGGGGAATCAGCAAAACTAATTAGAGATAAGAGAGATAAGGTGTCAAAACAGAAGACCACCAAAGAACTGGGGCTCCCAAAGGAAGCGGGACAGGAGCCAACAGGTAACAGAAGTGCGGCTGATTATCACAACCTAATTCCTTTCGCTTGGACAAATCCTGTTGACACCTGTTTTGTAACAGTAAAGTTATTGCATTGGGCTGGCTGAATTGGGTGCTGTTGGCACGTCTACTTGCAAAGAAAATAAGGTTGAGCACATGGTGTGGCAACAGAAAAATCATTGCACATGAATGAATGATTTGAGCACACACTAAATGACACAGCATACATGCCCAAACTGGCTTCCCTTCTCATTTTGAGGGCTATTGTGAAAGGCACATGTGTGAAAATGATGGCAGTGAATGCAGTGTCGTTAAAAAATAAAATAACTAAAAACTTAAATATGGAGGCAACAGATCTTGCTTCCCCTTCAGCTTTTGGCAACCAGCTAGAATGCCAAACACAGATAAACATTCCCCCCCTCCTTTATCCAAGACCTGGAGACTTCTCCATCATTTGTGGTTGATGTATTCCAGTAGACAGAGTACTACAGAGTAGGGAGCCTGAGCCTACATTTACCTTTTCCCCAGGTAACAGTACCCTGCATGGCTTTGTGCCATGCCTCTCAGCTTCAGTTCCCTGTCTAAAATGGAAATCATGCTGGCCAACTTTGTAAGATTGTTGTGAGGACCAGCTAGATATATAGTAAGTGGTCAATAACTTTGGCTTTGGGACCTGAAGGGAAGCCTTCCTCCATCATGGCCTGCATGGAGGATTGGCATTGTCAGGCACCTGTCAAGGTCAAGGCCCCTCCAATGTCCACCTCCTGGCCCTGCTCCTGCTCCTCTTAGTCTTTCCTGTTGCTGCTTATGCACCTGCCCTCTCTGAGCACACAAGCAATGACACGAGTGAGATAAAAAAAGGGGGATCCTCCACCTGCCTGATCTCCTCCTCTGGGTCGTTGAGTAGACTGGACCGAGGGGCAGAAATCAAGTGAATTAGCAGTGGTGGAAGAAGTGAGGATAGATACGATGGGCTCACTGAGGGCATCTTGCTCAAAAGCCACCCCAAACTGGAATCAGCAATGGTTTCCATAATAGTCAAGAGGACATTTGAGGACCACCTCCAAGTTTCCGCTGCCATCTGAGACCAGAAAGAGGAAGAACCTTCTCTGTGGTGGGGCCTCACCTGGGTGGTTTGCCTAAATTCACCTCAGTTAGCTTTCTCATGTCAGGCTAATACCTTTCTTAGGCTTCTAGAGTTGAACAGTTTTTAGCTGCTTTGGTTATTTCTTACAGTTCTAAGTTTCTATTCTGTAGCACTTTTTAAAAATCCAGTTTTATTTTTAAGTGTGAAAGTATGGCTGAAGAGCAGTATATTTGTTCCTAAAGTAAATAAATAATATAGATAGTTAATAATAGAAGTTGCTGTAACAGGGACAATATTGGCAAGGCTGGGGCGTTACTTTTTTACAGTATTTTTGGATATATTTTTCATATTCTCTGCTTTTGCTCAAGACCTTTGCCCGACAGTGAAGCTTCAGCTATATAAAAATGCCACGTGCGTAACTTGTAGTAGGATCTTGGGTGCAGGTTCTTCCTACCCGAAGGGCCCACTGACTGCTGAAATGACGATGTCCAGATCATTGTGGAAGAACCACTTATATGATAAGCAATGCAGATGATTCCCCCTTCTTTTACAGTTATCAGTTCATTGTGATAGGCCTGCTGTGAAGAACGGACGTGAGTAAACAGAAGGAATGTGACAGGAAGCGTACGGTTTTGCGGCCCATGCCCATAGTGGAAATTGGGGCTCAGCATAATTCGGCATCACTTCCTTTTCACACACAGGCAAAGCGATGTAATTGCAATTACAAGGTGCTAAGTTGAACTTTGTCCCCCAGTTCCTATTGTTGACATCAGAATAACCTGTAAGCAGAGCTATTTGCACAACCTGGTGACTGCTTGGCCTCCTGGAGGAAGGCCACTGCTTGCCAACACGGTTGATGCTCTCTCCCGCATGCAAATATGGCAGAGACCCATGTGCAACAGGGAGGATCTGAAGTTCATGACTCATGTGAAGCCACCAGTAAGGTGCTGTGGGTGGGCCAAGCCCCTCAGTTGAAGCAAATGGCAGTCCAAAGAGGGTGATGGTGCTCTGGGCTTTCACTCAGACAGGCTGAGATGCAAGACGGCATGTTGACTGACCTGTTCATACTGCACTCAGGAGCTAGGGTAATAATGAAATAGCATAACGCTATTGTGCCGAGATAGGGACGCGGGTGGCGCTGTGGGTTAAACCACAGAGCCTAGGATTTGCCAATCAGAAGGTCGGTGGTTCAAACCCCACGACGGGGTGAGCTCCTGTTGCTCTGTCCCTGCTCCTGCCAACCTAACAGTTTGTTGTTGTTGTTTTTTTAAATATATTTATTAAAATTTCAACATATTACAAAAATGAGCGAAAAAAGAAAAAGGAAAGCAGATAAAAAAGAAAAAAGATATAAAAATGGAAAAATACAAAATACAAAATAAAAACAGTTAAACAAACAGATTAGTCTTTCTGTGTCTTATCCTTCATTTACTTGTTTCCTCGACCTCCTCGCACCTCCCTTTTTTGTATTCCAGTTCACATATTTTGTTCAGCAGTTCCCTCCCCTCTTTTAAATATCCTAATCAATAATCATAAAGATATTGTACTTTTAGATTATTACATATTACATAGTAAACCCCTTTTTCATCTTCCCTTGTAACATTTCAGCTAAGAACCACTTAGTTTTTATCGAACATCATTCTAACATTCATTAATTTTGCAATATTTCTGTAGATAATCTTTGAATTTCTTCCAATCTTCTTCCACCGACTCTTCTCCCTGGTCTCGGATTCTGCCAGTCTTTTCCGCCAGTTCCATATAGTCCATCAGCTTCATCTGCCATTCTTCCAAGGTGGGTAGATCTTGTGTCTTCCAATAATTTGCAATAAGAATTCTTGCTGCTGTTGTGGCATACATAAAGAAAGTTCTGTCCCCCTTTAACACCAATTGGCCGACTATGTCCAGGAGGAAGGCCTCTGGTTTCTTCAAGAAGGTATATTTAAATACCTTTTTCAATTCATTATATATCATTTCCCAGAAAGCCTTAATCTTTGAGCATGTCCACCAAAGGTGAAAGAATGTACCTTCCTTACATTTCCAACATTTATTATCGGGCAAATGATAGATTTTTGCAAGCCTGACTGGGGTCATGTACCACCTGTATATCATTTTCATAATATTCTCTATTAGGGCATTACATGCCGTAAATTTCATACCTGTGGTCCACAACTGTTCCCAGTCAGCAAACATAATATTATGTCCTAAATCTTGTGCCCATTTAATCATAGCAGATTTCACAGTTTCGCCCTGAGTATTCCATTTCAGCAACAAGTTATACATTCTTGACAAAGTCTTAGTAGTGGGTTCTAACAGTTCTTAACCTAACAGTTTGAAAGCACGTCAAAGTGCAAGTAGATAAATAGGTACCGCTCCGGCGGGAAGGTAAACGGCGTTTCCATGCGCTGCTCTGGTTCGCCAGAAGCGGCTTAGTCATGCTGGCCACATGACCCGGCAGCTGTACACTGGCTCCCTCGACCAATAAAGCAAGATGAGCGCCGCAACCCCAGAGTTGGTCATGACTGGACCTAATGGTCAGGGGTCCCTTTACCTTTACCTATTGTGCTGAGACCAGGAAGTCGTTGATTCAAGTAACTTGCACCTTACATGAGGGTTCAGTTCTGGAGGTCCACGCATAAATGCAAGAACATGTGAAGTCATGGAACCAGCCCCCCTCCCCCGCAAGGTGCAGGGCTACTTGTTCAGCTTTGAGACGGAGTCGCAAGGGTTCTGGGATGCTGCCAGAGCCCTCGTGCCACCTCCCCAAAACTGGGAAAGCCCACAATTGGGAGGGGGGGTGGAAATAAAGAAGCGAAGCGTGGGTTTCCTCCACTCTCCATTTATTTATTTATCCCCTCCCCTCCTCACAAAGCTGAGATTGAGTAAGTGAACTAAGATTTAAGTTGCCAGTATAAACCCCCACATACCCATCAGCAACATAAAGTTATTAACTTCTCTTATGGGGCTGCTGTAAAGATTATTAAGATAAAATATGTGAAGTGCTTTGACCACTTAGGGAAATGCTCTCTAAGTGTTAATAATAATAATAATAATAATAATAATAGCTATTATTGCTGTCCCCTGGTAGTTCATTTGTGTGTGTTTTTGTTTTTGTTTTTACAGAAAGTTCATTGATAAACAAACTTGTTTCTTCTGTGGATTCCTTCTCCTTTCTCTTTCCTTGCAGTTTGCAAGCTAGGTTTTCCGATGTGGTGCACTCTGTAAGAGAGTCTGAATTATCCACCTTCACTCGCTTCTTTGCAGAATCGCGGCCTGTTGTCTGTTGACTAGAAGGGCGGAGTAATCCTTATGCACTTTCACTTGATCCCATAATGTTAACTGGCCCGTCCCGTCTAAAGGAGCTTGTGTGGGATAAATCAGCTTGAACAGTAAAATAGAAAAGTTAGGTGATGAATCAGGCCACACCGTGTTAATGCAAGCCTACACAAGAAAAGGTAAGTGAACACATGCAAAATCTCCTCATGAATGGCAGTCCCAATGTGGTGTTTCTGTTTGAATGTATCACTAAACCTCTTTTCTCCTTTTCCTCCCAGCACCATAATTACTAACTGAAGCTAAGGACATCTCTAATAGTATTTAGAAACCGTCACCTCTCTAATCATTACAACAGTCCTGCAAGATAGGTTGGATTTAATTAAACCCTGATCAGATTTGGGGAATGAGACTGGGATTTCTGGGTTATCCATCAGTGAAGTCATATTTGAAGCAGATATTTTTCAGTGAGCAGATCATAGTTGAGCTGAGCAATCCGATACTCTGGAGGGCGGAGATACACTGCTGGCACATGGGCAGAATGGCCACTTGGAAAACTCCCAAATGGCAGGAAAGCTATGGACAACACATGGCCAGAGCTGATGGTGGCCATAGGTGTGGAAGACCTGTGGCACCGTCCATTAAAGCACAAAGAAGTTCAGTGGTTCAAATTCACATGGGGTTGGGGAATTATTCCTCATGTGGAACTTTTCAAGATATAGCGATGGTCTCTCCAGCTTTGATGGCTTTCAGGGAGGATTACATAGAGGACAAGACTATCAATGACAGCTAGCCATGATTACTCTGTGCTACCTCCAGTGTCAAAGGGGTTCTGTGGGCAATCACAAGTCAGAAGAGTGCTATTGCACTCAGGTCTTGCTTGCGGGCATCTGGTTTGGCTAGGGTTGCCATGTGTCCTCTTTTTCCAGGACACGTCCTCTTTTTCAGGGGTAAAATTTCTGTCTGGGTGGATTTTTTAAATTTGCCAAAATGTCTCTGGCTATACTTTCTGGATGAGACATAGACATAACAGGTGGCTGAAGACTTGCTTTCCTCTTCTCTTCTCCCTGTATCACAGTTTCTATAGTCTACATATAGTAATTCTGCCTGGTAGCAGAATCTTTTTTTTTGCAGAACTAGCAAAAATTTGCAGATGTTCATAGTTCACTGAAGTAACAGAATTTGACTTTATAAAGTGCCGAATTTGTATTAGCCTGATGCAGAATTTCGTTTCTTGATTTTATGTTTAGTTCATTTTATTTTTTGCAGAGTGGTGGTATTCAAAGCAATTGTCTACTATTTGTATTTTTGTTGTAACAATGCATGCATCAGGCAAAGCACAATGCACTGAGGTCTAGTTTTTCCTGGCCACCCCACCCCACCCTTCCAGCATAAATATAGTAGGTAGGGATTTGAGATAGCTATAAGAGGGAATGTTGTGTTTTAAAAGTCATTGGAGACAGTGAAGTTATGCTCACTCTCTTTAATACTAACAAACCAAATGTTATAACTCTTATCAGGCAGTCTCTGCAATGTCTGCATCCCTTCACTAATTTCAACAAACTGTCCTCCAGAGTGGGAAGATTAGCCTGTGTGTATGTTTATTCTCTGTGGAATTATAGCCATGTTCCCTTCAAGTGAGCAAGATACGAAAATAAAATCTTGTTTGCATTTCCTCCTCCTCCTGTTGCAATGGTGGAAAGAAGCTGCAAGTGATTTAATGTGCAAGCATACACAGCCCCCTTTCCATTTTAGGGGTCTTTGCAAGCTTTGAGATGGCAGATGCTTTCTTTCTGAAGCTCCTGCCTTGGTGATCCATATGCAAGAGGCTCTTCTCATATAATTGCCTCTATCTTCCATGTAAATCCAAACATTTGCATTTGGAAGAATGTTTTGTATGCAAGTCTGCGTGCACACTACTCTCCAAATGAAACGAAATAAAAATAAGGTTTCTGGGGCTGAGTAATCCTCTACAAGGCAAGCTGAATTCTGTATCTTGCTTGCAAGATTTAAGAGGTTCATCTTCATTTGCATAATTTATTTTGCTTTTGCCGCACATGAGATGAAGAAGGAGCCATGAAGGATACTGGAGACCTGCCCCTGCCATTTCAACAGGAATCCCCCACATACTTTAGAATATAAGAAGAGTGCTGCTGGATCAAGCCAGTGGTCCATCTAGTCCAGCATCCTGTTCTCATTGTGGCTGAAGAGATGCCTTGGGAACCAGTAAGCAGGATTTGAGCACAAGAGCCCTCTTCCCTCTGCCTCCAACTGTGGCAGCAGAGCACAGCAATCATGGCTAGGAGCCATTGAAAGCCCTTTCCAGTTTTGCCCACCCCACCTTATCAAAAGCTTTCTTGGGAGTAAGTTCCACTGAATACCACCATGTGGACTGAACATGCATCAGACTAGCATGTAGGTTTTTATAAGAATTGGGTTGGGGAGAGAACTATGCTACTCATGCAGTGGCTGACGTAAATCCAGTTTTGAAAGCACCAAAGGTACACCTTAATTCACAACTGGTTTAGAAGATAAGGTAAAGGTAAAGGACCCCTGACAGTTAAGTCCAGTCGCGAACGACTCTGGGGTTGCGGCGCTCATCTCGTTTTACTGGCCGAGGGAGCCAGCGTTTGTCTGCAGACAGCTTTTCTGGGTCATGTGACCAGCATGACGAAACCAGAGCAGCGCACGGAAACGCCTTTTACCTTCCCGCCGGGAAGGTAGCTTTTGAACTGCAAGGTTGGCAGGAGATATTTAGAAGATTTGTTGTTGTTTAGTCGTTTAGTTGTGTCCGACTCTTCATGACCCCCTGGACCAGATCACGCCAGGCACTCCTGTCTTCCACTGCCTCCCGCAACTTGGTCAAACTCATGTTGGTAGCTTCGAGAACACTCTCCAACCATCTCGTCCTCTGTCGTCCCTTTCTCCTTGCGCTCTCCATCTTTCCCATCATCAGGGTCTTTCCCAGGGAGTCTTCTCTTCTCATGATGTGGCCAAAGTATTGGAGCCTCGGCTTCAGAATCTGTCCTTCCAGTGAGCACTCAGGGCTGATTTCCTTCAGAATGGGTAAGTTTGATCTTCTTGCCTTCCTTCATGCATCACTGCCTTGCCGTGGTGAAGGGGCTTGAATAACTCAGAGAAGCTATGAGCTATGCCGTGCAGGACCACCAAAGACGGATAGGTCATAGTGGAGAGTTTTGACCAAACATGATCCACCTGGAGCAGGAACCGGCAAGCCACTCCAGTATCCCTGCCTAGAAAACTCCATGGACAAAGACAACAGGCATTTAGAAGATAGCTCCATACAAATGAATGAGGATCTAGATTTGGGATGGGGACCCTTTTTGAGAAGCACTGTGGGATAAAGGGCAGGAGGAACGGTTTGTAGATGCCAATGGAAAAGGAAGTGTGGAAATTCAGCATGATGGTTCAGTGATTGAATGGCTCCCTCGTGAGCTTGAAACTCTGGTGCCACATGTCTAAGCTTTGGAGGCAACATCTGGCTGTGGCGGCAGAGTGGAACAGCTTTTGGTCAGGAGAGGAACCAGCAGCTAAATGCACCAAGTCAAGAGAAGCTGAAGAAAGTTCTGCCTTTGTTAATGAGAACTTTCTTTTTCTTTCACTGCTTTATCGCAGATAGAAAGGAAGTTTGTAGCCAGCATTGCGCATAGGCGGGATCTGCCAGAATGATGTCATAGAGAAAGGGAACAGAACCCAATTGTGTGTTGTGCATACTGGAAATCTCACTGGAATGGTCCACAGCGGCTCCTTTATCAATTAGGTAACGTCTGACCCAGATGGGTGGAAGTTCAATGATTTTGCACTTGACGGTGTTGATTTACCAAGCAATCTTAAAAGGGCCATTAGGTCCTTTTATTTTTCTGAATAAAATTGAATGGTGACAGAGAGTACGATCCAGTCCACCTAGTTCATGGCTTCTAAAAGGTACCGAATCTTTCTGGGCCTACTTGCAAGTTGGCTCCACCTTTCAAGCCCTGTTTTCCACCTCTGAACTGAAAATTCAAGACCATCACATCAGTAGCTGACATCGGATAAGTGTTGATGTTTAATGCTGCTATAGGTATATGTAGGTGGTACAGATGGGAATAGAATTTCAACGTGACATAGAGGGGAGGGATCCTGTCTCTTAAAAGAGTCCCACAAACAGTAGCAATGTGCTGAGAGCAAGTGGAAGGAAAGCAAGCAAACTCGTAGAAATGGGGTGAGTGTCAGGGTGTCTATTTAAGTTTATCTCTATGTCTCATTTTCCAGTTCTGAATTCAGCTCCCAACATTTCTGCAGCAACCTGTGATTTGCTTTTGTACTACCTGAAGGACGGCAGGCGCTCCACTCCTGCTTGCACGCAAGTAGGAGCGGGAGTGGGCAGCCCAGTGTTCAGGTTCCAAGTAGTTCGAGAACTAAGCTGTTCAAAAACTGAGGTACCACTGTATTTATTTTCCCTGATTTGAACTGTGTTTATTCCCCCCTCCCCATGGTGATTTTCTTGAGTCAAAATGAGAGTACCCCTAAACATTTTTTTTAAGGAAAAAAGCACTGAGATACCATAAAATTATACATCAATGGAAAGATAATTTAATGAAGAATGGAGTGCAATAACTTTTATGAAGGATTATTTATTACAACAGCAGTCATAAGGAAGAAACGTGAAACACACAGAAAAAAATGAGGTATACAGGTTAATTTGCCGTGTTGGCACTTTGCGATAAATGTTAAGTTGTGGGTGAACATATCAGACAACACAGCGATTCTTCAAACAGTTCTTGTTTATTCACAGGCCAGAACAGAACTGAACTGAAGGGTTCAGCCAGCCTGCTTATATAGAGCTCCACTACAATGCAACTGTTACACTTTCTGTAACTATCCAATCACTGAACGTCACTTTCAACCCCTTATTTGCATATGTGGACCTGAGTGAAGACTATCTACAGTATCCCTTTGCTGGCCCAGGGTGAGAACTTCAGTACATAACAATAAATAAGTGGGTTTGGGGTTGTAGTCTGGGCACTCAGTCTCTAAAAGGTTCACCATCACTGACCTAGAAGATGACGTACCGGAGCATCTGGTAGTATTCTAGCCTAGTGGCAGCCCTACCTCCCAGGAGTGCCAACTTGGCTCTGCGACCGTGGGTGCTATGCAGTGCGCATGGCCCTGGCCCCAAAATTTGTGGGTGCCCAGCTCTTTCATGGGGAGTTTTGTGGGTGCTCAGCCACTCAGGGCCCCAGGGAGTTGGTACCTATGCTCCCTCCAGCATCTTCTGCCTGTGTTTTAATGAATTCAGTGGTGCCATTGCACAAGGGTGGCAAACTCCTGGTCCATGGGCCAAGGCTAGCCCCACCATCTGCATTTGTTTGGTCCCTCAGAGGTCCATGTGTTTTGATGGAGGCACCTGTAGCATAGTGCAAGCACAATATAGAAAAGTTGTCAAGCACACATGGACAGGGGAACAACTGAGTTGTTAAAATATTATAACTCACTTGGTCTCAGGGTACATAATCCATCTAAAGCAACAATTCATTATATAACATGATTATTTTATATAAAACATGCCTAAAAACTATAGATAATCAGCACTAATAAGCCACGAGATTCAGCACGGTTTTAGGGAACAAACTTAACAACACGGAGATGTCTGAGCGAATAACCAGGTTTTGAACTGGTACAGAAATGAATCTGGAGTAGGCAGGTCTCAAATGAGAGGTTGAGGGCTTGAAATTGGGCCAGCAGCAGCCAGTGCAGTTATTTAAAACACAACATATATATGGCTTCTGCATAAATTGTTTTATTTCGTAGTCTGGCCTGCTGCATTCTGCACCAGCTTCAGCCATACAGTTGACACAAGTGGCGTCATGAGGCCTCACCCTGCTGCCATTAGTTCTCCGCAATCAGTGTAATTAGACAAATGTGAAGGCAGGAAGAGAGATCTGGCCCAATAGGACTTCAACCGCCAGAACACAAGTGATGTGTTCATTCCTGCTGAAGGCCCATTTTTTATCCCTTAAAAACAGAGCAACTCTCTAAAGCCCCTTTAAGTCCCTGGTATGTTAAACTGATACCGGAGCTCAGCTGTTGCAGCGCCAGAAAGACAAATTCGGCTGAAGGGAAACGGTGTGTGTTTGTCATCCAGGAAGCTAAGTCCTTGCCTTCATCTGCAGCCCCCTTTTCCTGCTCTGTCCTCAATCTAAGAGTGAAGCGGGGGGAGGAATTGTGAAATCTCAGAAGGAGAGTAAGGAGCGCCTAAGACTTAGCAGCCAGAATGCTGCTCTGTCTCCACTCCCAGCTCAGTGGACAGTGGTATCCAGCCACTGTGTGCCACTGAGCCAGTAAGGAAAGGAGAGAGCAGGATGGAACTGCTGAGTGGAGAAAATGCCGCAGAGACCAAAATTGATTTAGGAGCTTTTCTTAAGTAAAAAAATTCATTACCAAAGAGCTTTCTTCCAAGAGCCCCTTTGAGAAACTCTGTGTTTATATATTGCTGTTTGCCTGACCCAGGCTGCCAATACTTAGAGTAATGGGTTCGTTTTTATTTATTTATTTTTGTTACCCTCCCCATGGCAAATACATGGAACCAGAGCTAAGAAGCACTCCGTTTCTTTCTGTGTCTGTCTGTCTCTCTGTCTGTCTGTCTGTCTGTCTCTCTCTCTCTCTCTCTCTCTCTCTCTCTCTCACACACACACACACACACACACATATCCTTCACAGCACCTTCAGTGACAAGCTGTGGAAATGGGAGAGAGGCAATATTCTGGCGCTACTAGTAGGGCTACCAGTTTGCTGCAAGTGTCACAAACGTGGGACACTGAGGTGCTTTGGTGCCTGAGTGCTCTGAAATCAGGAACTATATAGTATGATGAAATGAAATGTATTGCTGGGCTGCAGGACAAATTTCAAGGAAGAAGTCAAGACACTCTGGCTACAATCTAGCATGGAGTCAGCTGTTGTTGTTGTTGTTTAGTCATTTAGTCATGTCCGACTCTTCGTGACCCCATGGACCAGAGCACGCCAGGCACTCCTGTCTTCCACTGCCTCCCGCAGTTTGGTCAAACTCATGTTCGTAGCTTTGAGAACACTGTCCAACCATCTCATCCTCTGTCGTCCCCTTCTCCTTGTGTCCTCCATCTTTCCCAACATCAGGGTCTTTTCCAGGGAGTCTTCTCTTCTCATGAGATGGCCAAAGTATTGGAACCTCAGCTTCACGATCGGTCCTTCCAGTGATCACTCAGGGCTGATTTCCTTCAGAATGGATAGGTTTGATCTTCTTGCAGTCCATGGGACTCTCAAGAGTCTCCTCCAGCACAATAATTCAAAAGCATCAATTCTTCAGCGCTCAGCCTTCTTTATGGTCCAGCTCTCACTTCCACTACTGGGGAAACCATAGCTTTAATTATACAGACCTTTGTCGGCAACGTGAGTCAGCTGTACTAGAGCCCAATGACTTCAGTTAGCTTAAAGCAAGCCTATTGGACTTCAGACACTGGCTCGGATGCAGGGTGACCCAACGATAAAGAGGACTGCTGCTACCTTTAATAATTGCATAGAAGGGAGAATTTCAGCAGGCATGGTTTTTCTTGTCCTGGCAAAAATTCCCTTGGCTGCACAGCATACAAGCTAGAATTTACCAAATCTACTATTGCACAAATATAAAATACCTCATGATAGGCATTCTTAGTGCAATCTGCACAATATCTAGGGCTCTAACAATAGGGAGTCACTTATCACCACCACATGCCTCTTCCTGCTTGGAGTATTCCAAGGTCTGCAACTGCTGTTCTCTGTGGCAGTTGCTGAAATAGAAAAGGCTGGCTTATCAGTTGCTTGGATGCCAGCCCCAGCCATATGGAACTGGGCACGACGGGCATCTTCTTCTCAAACAAAGCACTGCAACCACCAACTACATTTCTTGTGTGGCACCCATCGATTTCATCAAAAGATATTCCTTTTGGGTTTTGCCCTTTATGCATTCTGCTTCTAAGTCATCTGACCAAATCAACCAGCTAAAATTTTAGGCTTGTTTCAAATAAGGAACATGAAGGACAACCCACAGGAAAAGAAAACAATTTTTCTATATGCCACGGCAGCCGCCAGAATAGCCCTCACTAGTACAGTGGTACCTCAGGTTAAGTATTTAATTCGTTCCGGAGGTCCGTTCTTAACCTGAAACTGTTCTTAACCTGAAGCACCACTTTAGCTAATGGGGCCTCCCGCTGCCGCTGCACGATTTCTGTGCTCATCCTGAAGCAAAGTTCTTAACCCGAGGTAATATTTCTGGGTTAGCGGAGTCTGTAACCTGAAGCGTATGTAACCTGAGGTACTACTGTAAATGGTAAGGGGAGGCGATTCCCACAAAAGATGATTGGGTATGTAAATTAAGCGAATTTATAGAATTAGCAAGGTTAACAGCAGCCATAAGACTTCAGGCAAATCAAAAATTGAGATTAGAATGGCAGTGTTTTGAGGAATATATGGAAAAACACAGCTCTAAAAAGAATATGTTGATATGCATGGACTAAGTATGTAAAGTATAAATGATAACAATAATTAGAAAGGGTTATAAGAGATGCATTATCCAGAGAATGCAATGACAATATTCAAATTTTCACCAAAGGAAGTTGAGTAGTGGTGGAGGGAAGTCAGGGGTGTATATAGGGCTTTGTGTTTGTAGTATAGGGATATATGTATTTTTTTCTTTTTGTATCAGTATATGTTTATTTTATTTTCATTTTTTGTATCATTTATTAAGAATAAATAAAAAATTATTTTAAAAAGAAAGAAAGAAAGAAACATGAATCTGTTTCTTTGAATTGGATTTGTAGACCACACAGCCTTATAACCAAGGGGCACCTTTGCTGTTGGAGCTGGTCCATGAGTCTCAGATGCAAGTGAACCTTGAAAACCAGCATTCCTACAGTGATGCTACACTGACCTTTCTGCAATATCCCTCCAGCATATTCTTCCATGCCCCCTTGGTACTTCTGCCTCCTTGCTGGCGTATATACCCTCTCTTTCCTTCCCTTTCTCCCCCCCCCCCAATTGAGCATATATTTATATCTTGCTGGTTGTGTTGCCAAGGAGCCCTGAAAGAAAGCAGAGCCGAGATAACTTCTAATCCACCTTTCTGTGATAATGTGGCGCAAGTGAAAAAAGCCAGGGTTCCTCTCTCGACGTTGTGGTAAGAGACCAGGGGCCTTTAATAGACACCGTAGACAGAAAGCTTCCCAAGGACAGTCCTGAAATGGAGGCAAGGACTATGTTTCTAGAGAGCCAGGAATCATAAGTGTTTTCAGAAACTGAATGGAGGCAGGAGAGGTGTGGGTGGTTACCGATGACTCTCATGGAAGAAACTAAGATGTCAGGGCAATTGACACAATAAAACACGGACAGCCGTTTAGAAAACTGTAGGCCTGCCATTTTATTCAATTAAAAATGTTTTATTATTATTTTTTGGCGATTCAAATTTTATTTTTTACCAGCAACCAAAACACAAACAGTGAAACCCCCTAGGTGGCTGATACATTGGGTATACATAATCAATAATAACATATTCAAATCAACCATATGTACGATTTTATATACGTTAACACTCCTCCACCCACAAGGTTTATTTAACTTTTAACATTTTAATTGCCCCAGATTGTTATTTTATTTAACTAATAAACGTACAAGCTGTTTTTCAAGAGAGAAATCCTCACAAAAATGGCGTATAAATACAAAATTAACCAACCATCAAACGATATAAAAGTGATGGAAATTTTTTAAAACATCCAAAAATGCAAAATATTAAAAGGCAGCACAGAGCCACAAGCAACATGGCAGAAAACTGAGCGCACTGTAAACAAAAAAAATCACAATGCAATTTTTACAGTCCAATATAGATCCGTCATTAAAAGGTTAAGCAGAAAGGCTAGTTTTGAGAGCCCATGTAAACCTATCAGAGGATGCTGCTTGCCTGTGCTCAAGTGGAATTGAATTCCACAGATGAGGGGCCACCACTGAGAAGTCCTTGTTCAGTGTGTCCACCAATCCAATTGTGGGCATCCAAGCAGGCCCCATGAAGCAGATAAGTTTATATGTGATAATTGTGTGATTTTGCAATATTAGTTGATTCCTTAACACTTTGGTGTCATTTCGGGGGGGAAAGTGTACATGTTTCTATTGAGAACCTGCACAGGGTAGATTAGGGACCAGAACCAGAAAAACCAGGTTCAAATCTTCACAATTTAGCTCCACTCTCACCTCTCTCTCTCTCTCTCATTCTGCTTTAGCCAACCTCACAGGCCAGAAGAAAAATTAGAGATGTGCTAGTCTGAGGTCCTTAGAGCCTGCTAAAGATAGGGAGGCCATGGAATTTCTTATGTACTGAAGTTCTCACCCTGGGCCAGCAGGGGGATACTGTAGTTTTCACTCAGGTCCACATATGCAAATAAGGAATTGAAAGTGACGTTCAGTGATTGGATAGTTACAGAAAGTTGTTACTGTTGCGTTCTAGTGGAGCTCTATATAAGCAGGTTGGCTGAACCCTTCAGCCCAGTTCTGTTCTGGGCCTGTTAATAAACAAGAGCTGTTTGATGAATCGCTGTGTCGTCTGATATGTTCACCCACAACTTAACAGAATTCATGCTTAAAGCTTCCGGTGACCTGCCGTGAGACTTTCTCCCTTTGACGATCTCCCTTTTTTCTGCGTCTGCCAGCTGTAAACAAGGTACAACCTCCAGGGGACTGTAACACTTCATACACATGTGGAATCTGACATGTTTAAAAGCATCCCAAAATTAAAATCTCCTCATACTTGAATAACTGATACCCCAGGGATAAAGCTTCTAAAGGCCCACTATGTCCCTGCCATTGGTTTTTGTTGCTGCTAGCATAATCTGGGAACATTTTTATCCTCCATCTGCGTATCTGATGTGGTACAATCCTGCAACCACATGCTCTGTTCAATGTTTTAACCACCCCAAAGTACCACAAAGGCAATAGGATGTTCTATAAAACCTTCAAGGTTTTAGGTGAGGGTGGTATTCTTAGATCACTTCAGTTGCTTAGTTCATTCTGCACTGTGCTTGCTAAGAGTATTTGTTTCTTCAAAGGCCAGTATAAGGGGGCGGTTGAGAACCACTTGCCGTAGCGATAATAAAATCGGTGATAAAGGAACTGGAGAAGCTATCTCCTTGCTAAAGTTGGTGGGTTGGTTTGGATAATATGATCTGTAATTCTACCTGCAGAGTGGCTGATCCAATTCCTTTGACTTTAGCTGGATTTTGTTTCTGTAACTGGGCACAAGAATGCAGTACGGAACAATAAAGGTGAAATATACTCAGATTTCTGTAGTGATTTCATGCTCTTTATTGCAACTTGTAAAACAGTGATTGAATTGCCCCCCCAAACCTCAGGCTTTTATATACATTATTTACACAATCAGTCCCGTCTGATTGGCTGATTCTGTTTCCCTCTTGGAGCCTGACTGGTCTTTTCCTGCAGGCCAATCAGTTGTTGCATTCTAGGATCCTACTTGCTTATTGTTCTAGGATCCAAGCTTAGTACATAACAAAAGGTGTGGTTCAGGGGCCAAAAATCCCATCCCTGTGATGGAGGAGATAATGTTTTCCACCCCTGATGTAAGACACGATACGGATTCCCCATTGTGACAGTGCACAGTTGCCCAGATTTTACGATTCAGAAGAAGGAAGATCGCACAGTTTGCATGTATGAACCTCAGCTTCACATGCCCACCCACACCTATCTAAAAAAACCACAAAAAAACCAGTTAAGCATCTGAACTGGGCTGCAGTAGTGCTAGCTGTCAGCAGAGCACATGTCTTTTGCTTTCATAAATAAACCGTTCTTGCTTAGGATATTTTTCGAATTTATTATTTTTTTAAATGAAAACAAACACGAAGATATTCCTCACAAATCTTTTGCAGACCCTTTGCCAGGCGGTTTATTGTTCTTCATTCCTGACATTCACATGTGCATATAATGTGGGAAAAAATTGACACCTGATTCAGAATATGTTTACTTGGCAAGAAATCAAGAAGCTGAGTTTTAATAGCACTTAATTTTATGAGCATGTGGTCTCAGCCCCACGAGCCTTATAGGCTGCTCTGCAACCTGTTGCTTGGGCAGCAAAACTTCTGTCAGCTTCAGTGGGAATTTCTTCTACACAGATTCAGGATTGGGACATTTACTGGTTTCAAACTATAGTTCAAACTATTTCTCCTGCTTTTCTCACCCAGCCAGATATATCCAGACAATCCTTCATAGATTATTGTACATCTATGTACATTCCTCTCCAGCTCATTAGATTGCAGTGGTATTTAATGCATTCTCATGTGGTTTTATCCAGTGGCAAGTGGCTTCTTGCTCACGTTGCACAAAAAGTAGCCAGCTGTTGCTACCAGTAAAATAATGAGCAGATGTGATGAAAACAGGTTTGTTGCTCAACAGTAGGATCACCCAGGCGTGGCCTTTCCACCTACGCTCCTTGTGGCGTCCTTCTGCAAAAATGGCAGGTTGGGGGGGAATGTCAGCCAGACAACAGGAAAGCTTTCATTTAGGGATTTTATGGGAACATTATTTAATACTAAATATGTCTTAGAAAGATCACTGCAGATGGTGACAGCAGTCACGAAATTAAAAGACGTCTGCTTCTTGGGAGAAAGGCGATGACAAACCTAGACAGCATCTTACAAAGCAGAGACACCACCTTGCCAACAAAGGTCCATATAGTTAAAGCCATGGTTTTCCCAGTAGTGATGTATGGAAGTGAGAGCTGGACCATCAAGAAGGCTGATGGCTTAAGAATTGATGCTTTTGAATTATGGTGCTGGAGGAGACTCTTGAGAGTCCCATGGACTGCAAGAAGATCAAACTGATCCATTCTGAAGGAAATCAGCCCTGAGTGCTCCCTGGAAGGACAGATCCTGAAGCTGAGGCTCCAATACTTTGGCCACCTCATGAGAAGAGAAGACTCCCTGGAAAAGACCCTGATGCTGGGAAAGATGGAGGGCACAAGGAGAAGGGGACGACAGAGGACGAGATGGTGGGACAGTGTTCTCAAAGCTACCAGCATGAGTTTGATCAAACTGTGGGAAGCAGTAGAAGACAGGAGTGCCTGGCGTGCTCTGGTCCATGGGGTCACAAAGAGTCAGACACAACTAAACAACAACAACAAAATGTCTTAGAAAAGAGAAAAAGGGAAGGTGATACAAAACTGATCTCAGAGAGGCCTTATGTCTGGCCACTCCAGAGCACTCTAATTTTGGCTATGTCACAAGGTTCAGAAAGATGATGGTGCATTTTGGCAAAACAAATAAATTATCTTGCAATATTTTGATACTACAGAGGGGAATTTCTTGTGGTTGACCTTCCCTGCCTACAAATCGGAGGCAAACAGAATGTTGTCACCAAAACAATTGACTCAGCTGTCCACGTTTGATGCTGTGGAGTCGGACAAGATTCTTCCCCCCACTATTTAAAAAAAAAATTTGTTTTTTGAAAATGCCCTCCTATTATTAGTATTATTATTATTTTGTTTCTAAGCCTTTGTTGACATTGACAGCTCATCCTTTGGCCATCATTCATCCCGGCTACTGCCAACTTTGGAGAAAATAAAAACCCTGCTCCCCTAATCCGATTAGAGGGCTGGCAAATTGAATCTTGCCCCTCTCAGTGTCCCCTCAGCTGGCTGTCATTAGGAACATAGCCTGGCCTTTGGCGAGGCTCCAAACACCACCTAACTGAATTTGAGATGCTGGAGTCCTGACAGGCCAAGGAAGGTAATTGAAGAGCTGTGGGGATCTTGTAAAATTTCAGCCAGCAGGGATTACACAGGGGATCCAGGAGACCCAGCTGTAGCAGAGACGGGAGCACTAAAAAGCCACTGTCTGGCCCCCTCTTTCTTTCTTTTCATTATTATTGATAAAGAGATTGGGGAAAGAGATGTCAAATTAGGGTGAATAAAAACATAGCATCAGGTTATCGGCCCGAACCAAATGTCTGCTAGAACGGAAGCCTTCGTTTCTATTTATATCTAAAACACATGAGGGTGCCTTGTGGAAACTGACGACTCTTGTTTCCAGGTAAACATGTATAAAATCTTGATGAAAGCCTTTTCCTCTCTCTGATGATGGACCCAAATATCAAAATCACCAAAGTACTTCCTGTTCTTTTGGGGGTGATCAATACCATATAACTGCAAAAAGAAAGATGCATGGATGTAGTAATTCTTTTAATGAACTTGCACCTAAACATTTAGCCCAGCTGGAAAATTAATTGTGATTTTAGTGAAATCATGTTGAGCCATTGGTAAATCTCTGCTCTCTGACTGGATCTGTGTTTTCTCACCTAGGTACTAATTGCCTGTGTGTATCCTGAGTTTGCATCTAATTTAAGCAGGCACAGTCCTGTTTGCCTAACTGGAATTTTCCCATGCGTTAGTGTTCAGAGAATTTCAAAAATCTGAATTAGTCTAGCAGTTGGGAGGAGAAATTATCCCAAATTATAGTATCTAATAGATGTATGATATTGCTGCCTGAGGCGTAGTGAGGCTTATACATAAACATTATTTTTGTGTACAAAACACACACAAAGATTTGACCAACATTGTCATGTGTGTGGCCGATGAACACACATCTATCACTATCTGTTTAGAACCCTGTGTGTGCATACAGAAATCTCTCGCTGTCATTGTTTGAAAGCTATGCAAAACATGCTCATCACTATTTGTTCTCACCCAGCCAAATCTAGAAAGGCGCCTTCAACACATGGCAACCTAACCTCATCAGATTGTCACTTTCCTTTCTGACAAAAGGGGCACAGAATTCCGCTCACCTGCTCTGTAGGGACTGAAAGAATGAGACTGTGGAAAAGAAGGCAATCTCTCAGCCACTGCTCTGATGCAATCACCATTCATCTAAGAGCAAAGAGGGGTTCAACACTTTCCCAGTTAGTCTGGGAGCGCCTTCACCTTACTCAGGACAGGTGTGTATGTTCTCTCCTGGGACAAGCTCTGAAAAGCCAGTTGTGCAAATTTTTCAGCATGATGATTCCTCACCTTCCCACTCCTGTGCTCAATCCCTGGAACTGGGTTGCAACTTTCTCCCCAAAAAGTTTGGCACCCACTGTGTGGGGCCCAATTAGGGCCCCTGGCAGAGCATCAATGGCAGATCCCTGGCATCTCCTGGGTGACACCCATGGCTCAGGGTTATATTGATGGGGTTATCTGGTTTAACTCACACAACAGTGACTCAGGTAAGATGCAGAGATTTTATCTTTTTTTTTAATTCAAAATTATAACAAGACATATTATCCAAAAACATATCATCCTTGTCCCCCCCCATTTTTCCTCCCTCTCCCCCTCCCACACAAAATCCATCCACCCCCACCCCACCCCCTGACTTCCCTCAGTTCCAGTCTTTGATTTCTCTAAGAATGCTGTTTTCTGCATGTTACAAAGTTGTATAGATCCTCAGACTATTTAGCTGATTATTATCAATAAAAAGTTTGTGAATGTTTATTCAAAACCTGCCAAGGAGTCCAGTTCGCTTTGTTGTGTCTTCAGATACTTTGTAAAGGGTTCCCATTCATCCTTAAAGTCACAGTTATCCTTGTCCCATAGCTTATATGTCAGTTTTGCCAGTTCTGCATAGTCCATCAATTTTTCTTGCCATGATTCTTTAGTTGGGGTTTCTTCAGTCTTCCATCTTTGTGCTACCAGAACTCTCGCAGCCGTTGTCGCATACATGAAGACGTTTTTCAACTTTTTGGGCAGGTCTTTCCCTACAATCCCCAACAAAAATGCCTCGGGTTTTTAACAAATGTTAAATGGAACATTTTCTTCAATTCGTTGTATATCATTTCCCAAAATTTTTTAATTACCTTACAATCCCACAAGATGCAGAGATTTTATCAAGGCCTTGATGGCCGCAAGTGAACTCATAGCTTCGAAATCCAGCCTCCGTTCGTGACACCACACTGCTTCTCTGTACACAGCACATTGAGGACCATTTCCAAAGGTGGGCTGTGAGCATCTTCCAGCAGTAGTGTCAGGCTTTTGGTGAAAATGTTCAGTTGGCTTTTGGTGGCAGGGTTAGGGTAGTATGGAAATATTTTGTTTTTGAGATTGGGATTTTTGCAATCAAATCAAGCAATTTGTGGGTCCCCAGATGTTGTTGGACTACAACTCCCATCATCCCTGAGCTCTGGCCTTGCTAGCTAGGGGTGATGGGAGTTGTAGCTCAACAACATCTGGGAACCCACAGGTTGAGAAAGGCTGAATCAACCAATTCTTGTCTGTTCCTTCCAAATCCACACAGCATGAAAAGCAACGGTGTTTTGTTCCTAGTGGTAGACAGCTACCCGTTATTTCTCTTCATCTGGAAATCTCGCTGTTTCTCATGCGAGTTTTCAGTTGGGGAAGACACATTCTACCCAGGAGCTCCCAGCACCCAGAATCCATCCATGTAGTAGGCCTGCCATGTCACAACAGTCTGAACATCTGGGTTTGGGGGGGGGCAGAGGAGAAATCCACTTCTCCACTGTGTGGTGGTTGTTTCAGAGGACAACAAAGCCCTCACCAACTCAAAATCTGATGGAGGAATCTTTGGGAGCCATGGGTCTCTCCCTCCCTCAAACTCAGTCTCCTTGTTAAGCTTCGCATGGGGTTTCCCAGGAGAACAAGGACTAGTCGTCACCTGAATCCTGCCGCATGTGCTTTCCCTCCCTCCCTCCCTCTCATGGAGGCGTTTTGCACTTTCTGAAAACGGCCTCCCATCATCTCCTTTCAAGCTCCAGCCCTTCTGGACTTGTTAGCTGTACGGGCAAGCACTAAGGCCCCACTTTGTATAATGGTTTAATTACAATGTCAACGTGGATTCATTAGCATGACAGCTGTCACTGTAAACGGGCGAGTGGGGAGGCTTTCAGAGCCCCCAGGGTCAGGGTAATTGATGTAGTGAACAGAATACTGTATTTGCCAAACAAAAGGATGGGGCTCTATCTTGACCCGAGAAGGGCAATCAGTGTAATCAAGGAATCGATAGCAGCTGCATTTTCATCAGTGATCAGAGCGATTCAGCCACCCGCCCACCTGATTATGTCCTGGCTGCTATAGCCTAGGTGGCAATCACTGACTTTGTACGATTTGTGCACTTTCTCCTATGGAAAGAATTCCCCTTACTATTTCCAGTTTTTTCTGCGGTTAAGCAGAACACCCCCCCACCCCACCCCCCCAGAGATTCCCCATTTTCTTAATTGGGGAATGATAGGTGTTTTGCTGCTATTAGGGGTAAGTATTGCTTCATGCCCCAAATGGTTTTTTTTAAGAGCAGAATGTTGGAAATAACTAACATAATATTTCATTAATTGCTTACTACATTAATATCCTAACTTTCCTCCAAGGAACCGTACGCAGTTCTCCCCTCTTCATTTTCTCCTCACAACAACCCTGTGAGGTAGAATAATAATAATAATAATAATAATAATAATAATAATAATAATAATTTATTTATACTCTCCCATCTGGCTGGGTTTCCCCAGCCACTCTAGGCGGCTTCCTAAAAAATATTAAAATACAGTCATGCATCAAACATTAAAATCTTCCCTAAACAGGGCTGCCTTCAGATGTCTTCTAAAAGTTTGCTAGTTGTTTTTCTCTTTGACATCTGGTGGGAGGGCGTTCCGCAGGGCCAGCGCCACCACCTAGAAGGCCCTCTGCCTGGTTCCCTGTAACTTGGCTTCTCGCAGGGAGGGAACCGCCAGAAGGCCCTCGGAGCTGGACCTCAGCATCCGGGCAAAACGATGGGGGTGGAGCTACTCCTTCAGGTTATGTGATTAGCCCAAGGTCACCCTGTGACCTTCTTAGGTTAGTGGTGATTTGAAGCCTGGTTTCCCAGGGTCTAGCCTGGCATGCTAACCTACGCTGGGATTTCTCTGATAGCTCAACTTTTCTTCTTGTTTCTTAGTGTAAAGGTATAGAACAATGTATGTATACACACTCACAATTTCTTATACTGGTAATACATGGAGTCCAAGTCCTCATCCCCCCCCCCCCCAAAAAAAAAGAATCTTGAGGCATTGCTTGCCATCATGCAGTCAAACATATTCAGTTGTTTTAGCTGTAAGTGCTTATTCTCCAAATCTTAAAGAACCATTCCCAGTTGTTGGCAGTTTATTTATTATTAAATAAATGATTAAATTAAATTCCAGACTAACAGGTGGTGATCCTTGAATAGATAATCTTTCATATATCTTAGTCTACAATTTAATTAACCTTTCGGAAAGAACTGGGTGACAAATACCAACTGTAAGTAAGTAAGTAATTTTTATTTATACCTCGCCCTCCCGGCCAAGACCGGGCTCAGGGCAGCTAACATCAAATATCAAATACATTAAAACACAATCAAACAATTGATTAAAATACAGCTTAAAAAATAGAATCAGGATAAAATTAAATGTAAATGGTTTTATAATGCTTTTCTTTTATACTCATGCAAGGCGAAAAAGCAGACGCAATGGTAGAAGCAAGCAGATCTCCTTGAAAACCACCTCAAATTCTGCAAAATTGGCTCAACTTCTGTTTTGAAGAAGATTTCGGTGAAAAAGGTAGGGGAGAGTCGGGTTCCAGGAGAGAACAAGTCAGGCTAGTCTAGGGTTGTCCAAGAAACACTTTGTTTAATCAATGTGCCGCTGTTAACAAGAAACTTTAGAGGGAAAGCATTTTCAATTCCTAGGATGCCCAGGTTCTGTCCTTAGTGCTAGATTTGCTGCTGATCACACACAGCATGAAGTTTATAAAGCAAATTTGTCCTGGTTTGTGGTGATCTAATGACTTCATCCAGTCACTTCATGCCTTATGAACCAGATTTACATAATATCTTCACTGCAGCCACAGAAGTTCATTCTGCAAAGAGCCTGAATGTAGAAATATTCTGTGACTGTAGATCCTCATGTCATGAGTATCACCATCCTGTGACTGGTTCAAAATATAAAATAAAACTATTAATATTGCTAATGGATAGGGGATGAAGCAGGTGGAAGGAACCTGACTGAATCTATTTGACTGAAGAAGAGACTTGCACCCACATGCACACACACACACCCCATTTGTTGTGTCATCTCCACTGGTTGCATAAGTGCTTTTAAAATAATGAAATTACTTCCATCAGAAAAAAGAGAGATGCCTGCATGATAGGTTTGAGGTGGGGGGGGGGAGTAGGGAGTAGGGAAAGAAGGATAACCTGCATAAAAATCCCAAACACTATTGTCACAATAATTGCAACATCTAAATAATTCTAAACTCCCTCCTGTCCATACACTTTGTTCTGCAAGTCCCCAGGAAGATGAATTGTCAAACTTTTCCAGTATTAAGGAGGAACGTGCACAGCAAAAAGAAAAAGAAATATCTGCCCTTCCATCAGTCTGAAAGGTTTATATGGGTATCTTGTTTATATGACATGGATCAAAGAGAATCAACTGGCTGCCTGTGCAGTCGCAAAGCAATTATATTTGGCCTTTGATTTCCCCACCAAGTTTTAATTGAGAGAGGTTTAAAAGCAATGCTTGGAGTTTCACTTCCAAGGAAAAGAAAATATCCCATTTCAGGTTACATGAATGTGTGGACAGGAGGGGTGGGGATTATGTACAGTGATTCCATCCTTGACAGCTATGTGTTCATCCAGAAGTCTGTAAAGAGCCTTCGCTTAGGCTCCGTAAGTGTGAGATTGTGTGAAAAGAGTTTATGCGCCTATAATTTATGCACATGCAGGCTCTGTGCAGATCTTCAGATCAAAGCATGGGGGTCAGGTGCAGGTGTAGTCCCACTCCACCCTGCTCACACATGCATTTTACCTGAATTGATGTCTCAATAGGGAGAATAACCCTGTGGGCACATTTCAACCAAATCTCACTGAAATAAATGGGACTTTCATGATTGAGTCTCATTTTATTGCCAGATCTCTTGACTAACCTTTGCTAGATTGCACCCTTTCATATAAAAGGGACGCGGGTGGCACTATGGATTAAACCACTGAGCCTCTTGGGCTTGCCGATCAGAAGGTCGGCGGTTCGAATCCCCACGACGGGGTGAGCTCCCGTTGCTCAGTCCCAGCTCCTGCCAACCTAGCAGTTTGAAAGCACGTCCAAGTGCAAGTAGATAAATAGGTACTGCTCTGGCGGGAAGGTAACTTTCCGTGCGCTGCTCTGGTTCGCCAGAAGTGGCTTAGTCATGCTGGCCATATGACCCAGAAGCTGTACGCCGGCTCCCTCGGCCAATAAAGCGAGATGACCTCAACCCCAGAGTCGGTCACGACTGGACCTAATGGTCAGGGGTCCCTTTACCTTTACCCTTTCATATAAACATGGTGCATCTTCTGAGAAAGCAAACCTGCCACTTGAGGAGACCCTTAAGGAAGTCTTCATTTTTTAGCCTGCCTTCCTGCACAGGGATGACCACACGCCACCTGAGGGCAGTCCACAGCTATGAAACCCTTCTATTATTGCTCAGTGATGCTAACTGCCTATAGAAGGTCAGGTTGCTGAACTAGTGTCTGGAGAATAGAGCAGTCCCTGGACACACTGGTTCACCATCACTGCCATGGGCAGTGACCTCCCTGAGGTACAAGCCTGGGCAATGTGTTTGGGGGTTCTGGGCAGCTCAGGTGACAAGACTTTGGCTTTGCTGATGTGGTCCCAAGGAACAATATGTTTGGCACCAGCATGGCTGTAGGAGTTGCCCAAACTACAAGGTGCCATCCAACCATATTAGGAACTCCATTCAGATTTGTATAGGGTTTACTCCTGAGCCTTTTCTTCTTCTGAATATATCTTGCAAGGCAGTGGAAGTTTAGGATCAGAGTTTTCTTCTCCTAGATGAGCTACCTTTCCAGGTTAACGAGTCCCATTTGCCCCTCACTTCCATCTACAGCACATGCAGAAACCACCTTCTTTGTGCTGGGCCCAGGGGTAAACCCAAGCAACGCGGTCCAGGTCCGGTCCTGAATCCAAGGGTTCTGCAAAGAGTCAGTCCGACAGGGGCAAGGCAGGAAACCAGGCTAAGTCAGGCACAGAGTCACAGGCAAGTTCTAGCAAACAGCAATGTTGCTCCCACCACCTGGGGCAGGGTCCAACAGCCTTTTATCTCTGTCGGGGTAACGGCCGGTCCTGATCCCCCGGTGCCTCACCTCCCTGTTTCGCCCAAAGGCGAGCGCTCCTCCTGTGAGTACTCAGGTCTCTCCTTCTCTCCAACCTAAGGCTATGCAGCTCAGGAGACGTTGGTGGGTTACTAGACCCAGAGGCCGCCTCAGCCTCTCCTGACCCAACTGGTGGTGGAGCAGCTGTAAGTGATGGTCCAGCTGAAGGCAACGAGGTAATCCCTGCATCTGGAGCCAGGGCAGGCTCAGGCCCCTGACTCGGCCCAGCTGGTGCTTGTTGCAGGGGAACCTGTGCAGACTGGGGCTCTTCAGAATCAGGCCCCAGACTAGGTTCAGATGCCGCCTGAGGCAGAGGATCCGGTGCAGACTGAGACTCCTCTGGTTCCGAGTCCGAGCCTGAGTCCCAGGCCATCTCATTATTGACTGTTGGACCCACTATTGGTCGTGTCCGCTCAATCTGCCGGAGCCTATATTCACATGCATGCGAAGTCTTTAACTCAGCAAGGGTTGGAGACCTATCGGCTACCCTCACCTGGTTTAGCTTGCCAGTTGAATCCATTTACCAGGGTGAGGCCGCTGTCACATGCTGACAGCTTTTAGCAGCCTCAGGTGAGAGCTGAGTACCAGGTGGGAGCCTAAGGTGGACAAAGTAGCCCAGAAGGAGCATGACGTGGTCCCCACCAGAGGTACTACTCCTCCCTTAACATCTCATACACCTCACACTGACATGTGGGTATGTATATATTTCTCTGTGTGAGCATAGCTGGCCTAATTTACATGGCAAAATGAACATGCTGATAACCAAGACTACTGGGTGGATCAGTCAGAGTTAGTCTGGCAGAGAGTGAAGTGGTGGGGATGATTCTTCTTAGCCTGTGGTGACCTCAGAGACGAAACAGCCTGAACTGAAGTGGAATTTGGGAGCAAGTCTTGGTATTATTTTTTTATTTATTAATTGCCTACCCTTCACAGTAAGGTTCCAGGACAGATCACAACATTAAAAACAGTATCAAACAATCCACAAGGTGCGTCCCAAAAGCATAACCTTCTGGTGTCAAGCGCCAACGAAAAGCTGTACAATGAAGGCACCAAGATGCACCTCTGTGGAAAGAGTTAGATAGCAGTGGACAAGGAAGGAAAGTGAGACAAGAATAATTCAGGAAAAGATGTTGGTGAATACTTGGGCCTCCAAGAATGAGGACTGGAAACTTTTCTTTCTTGAACTGATAAAACTCAGAATCTGAGGAAGCCTTTGCTTTTTTTGCTTGTGGGGTTTTTTTATTGTTTCATTGTTTTACTAAGCTTGCGGCTTGAACAATGTGAAACCTCAGAGCTTCAATAATCCTGTCCTCATCTGGCTTTTGAAATAGCACTGCAAATGGTGTAAAAAAAGAAAAGCCCATTGCAGGAAACTTTGCATGCCAAGAGCTGCACCTGGGCTGAACCGTGCATGTGCTATAGGAGTTTCCTGCCCATAAATGGGTTTAGGAGGTGACATCTAAAAATGGACTGGGTAATTCAGAGAGAATCCCAGGCTGCATTTCTGTTGAGCCAGCCACTCCACTACAATAGCTTCTGAGAAAGATCCCTGTTGTGATCCAGAGAGACAATGTCCCTGGAATGTGTGGAATCTGTATTCAACTACCACCACTTTCATGTCTCATTGAGGGTCATTTATTAGAACAAAACTAATTATTTTAAAAACCCACAAATTACAGCACTCAGTTTGGAGACCTTTGCATCACTGTCTTTCCCAGACCATATACATCCCAATATCTATAGTCAGTGTATTAGCACTGGCCAAGAAAATTTTCTCAAAGCGATTGAAGGCCCCTTTCCTTTCTCCTGTAGATTTTGAATTCTCCCTCTAAGGAACTGGGGTAGGGGGGAATTGAGTGTGCTGGAAGTGATTTGATAGTGTCAAGTCAAATCTCTGCCATGAGCATTCTAGGTGGCATTTTAGATAAGCCTCAATAGCTCAGTTGGTAGAATATGAGACTCTTAATCTCAGGGTTGTGAGTTTGAGCCCCATGTTGAGCAAGAGAGATTCAAGTTGCAAAATTGGGCTCCTTCATCTGTCTTTTTTAAAAAAAAAAATTATTAACAAATTCAACGAAACAAATCAACAATACAAATCATCCTCATTGGTTTTTCCCCCTGTCCCATTTCCCCCCTCCCACCTCCCCAACAAACCCTCCCTCCCTCCCCCCCAAGACTTCCCTCAGCTCCTCTCTCTGATTTCTCAACTCATATTGTTCTCTGCATATTATAAAATTGTATACATCCTTATATTATCTATCCATCATATTAACCCAATAAATTTGTGTATGTTTATTCGAAACCTGCCAAGGAGTCCAATTCATTTTGTTGTCTTTTTAAGTAGACTGTAAAAGGTTCCCATTCTTCTTTAAAGTCACAGTTGTCTTTATCTCGCAATTTACATGTCAGTTTCGCCAGTTCTGCATAGTTCATTAATTTCTCTTGCCACTGTTCTTTTGTCGGGATTTCCTCATTCTTCCATCCTTGTGCTATCAAGACTCTTGCCGCCGCCTTTGCATACATAAACAAATTCTTAATTTTTCTTGTTCTTGTCTTGTTCAACAATCCCTAACAAAAATGCTTCTGGTTTTTTTACAAATGTCATTTTAAACATTTTCTTCAACTCATTATATATCATTTCCCAATTTTTTTAAATTTCTCTGCATTCCCACCACATATGGTAAAAGGTCCCTTCCTTTTCTTTACATTTCCAACGTATATTTGACCCAGTTTTATACATTTTTGTGATCTATAGTGGTGTGATATACCATCTGTCCATCATTTTCATGTAATTTTCTTTCAAAAGAGAGCAGTCTGTAAATTTTAAATCTATTTTCCACAGTTTTTCCCAGTCTTCAAATTGTATATTATGCCCTATATCTTGTGCCCCTTTGATCATGAGCGATTTCACCTCTTTTGTTTCCCATTCTAACAGAATACTATATGCACCCATCAGCAATTTCATTTTCCCTTCTATGACTTCCTTTTGAAATCTAGTAGTATAACTAAATCCTTTCTTGTTATCTTTTTTATAGATCTCATGTAATTGCCTATAGTGTAGCCAACTCTGAAAATGATCTTTTATTTCCTCATACTCTTTTAATTTCCATTTCCCTTCTTGTTCTTTTAGCAAATCACTATATGTAAGCCACTTCCCTTTCTTGCCAAATGGCTTGAGCAGCAAAGCTTCAATTGGTGAGAGCCGCCAAGGTGTCTTTTGTTCTAGTAAGTCTTTGTATCTCTCCCACACCCTCATTAATGATTTCCTAATTATATGATTATAGAATCCTTTATGTACTTTTCCTTTCCCATACCATAAATATGCATGCCATCCAAATCTGTTATCGTGGCCTTCTAAGTCCAATCCTTCCTTCATCTGTCTTTACTTTAAATTTTCCTCTTCCTTTCCTTCTGTGTAGAGACCATCATGAAATCCTGAGGACAGTCAAGGACACCCCTGTTCATGCAAGCCAAGGGTCTGTGGCTGCTCACTTTGAGTGGACTGTCTTGATCTTATCTGAGTTTTACCACTCATTCATAGACAAGGACCAGATCTATTCTTGTGCATCCCAGGCCACACTCAGATCTCAGATGCTCTTAGGGTGGGGCAGTAAGAATATTAACAATAAAAACCCATCAATCCTAATTTGAATGTACAGTGGTACCTCTGGTTGCGAACGGGATCCGTTCCGGAGCCCCATTCGCAACATGAGCAGAACGCAACCCGTGTCTGCACATACGCGGGTCGCAATTCGCCGCTTCTGCACATGCACGAGACATCATTTTGAGCATCTGCGCATACGTGAGTGGCGAAACCTGGAAGTAACCCTTTCCAGTACTTCCGGGTCGCCGCGGGACGCAACCTGAAAAGATTTAACCTGAAGCAAACATAACAAGAGATATGACTGTATAAATTTATAAAGGCAGTATCGAAATGAGATTAACAATTATAAGACATGCGTTCAAACCTCGAAGAGCAGTGAGATTGTCAGATCACTGAGCAGTAGGTGGTGGGTATTTGTCCTTCCAGTCTTGCAATATAAAGCCCCATCCGAACTATACAATTAAACATTTTCATATCACTCTAAACAGTCATGGCTTCCCCCAAAGAATTCTGGGAACTGCAGTTTGTTAAGGGTGCTGGGAGTTGCTAGGATACCTCTGTTTCCCTCACAGAGCTACAGTTGTCAGAAAACAGTCAATCCCTTTTCCCAGTGTACCCTGGAAATGGTAGCTTGGTGGGTGGGATAGGAATCTCTTCACAACTCCCAGCAGAACCTAACCATTTACATTAGTAGGATGGTATTCACCTAGAATAAGAAATTTGACAGTTGTGTGTGAGTCTAGCACAATGAAATAAACCCACGTGCTAATAAATCAGTTGGTCCTGCAGAAATGTTGGCTTCGAGTCCCTTGCTTCTACCTAACAAATTGTTGGCAGTCCTTGAAACTGGCTTGGCTTCCGTTTTCCTCTTCAGCAGACCAACCAACTTGAGTACTTCTTCTGTAATTACCATTACCGTATTCAGTATTAGCTGATTGCTTCTACGTATCTTTTTTGACATTATTATCTCCTAGGGTCTCTCTCTCATTCTGTTTTATGTTGTGCAGGAAAAGGAAAAGGAAAACCCTAGGCCCAGATTTATCCCAATGGTACACTTAATCCTTTTGTTGATCTATTATTTCACTGCATAGAGGAAAAGCAAGATTAAGTGACAATTTTTTGAAACCTCAGATCGGCATTATAATATTGGTTTGGTGACCTCAGTTCGCTTTCTGCTTCATTTCTCTCTTGATCTCATGTCATACAATGTGTTGTTTTCTTGGGTTGTGTCACTTTGGCTGAGCTGGCAACCCGCTGTGAGCTAAGTTCAGCTTGGTTGAAGAAATTGGATCCATGTGACTTGAAATATTCTAGGATCCTATCCCTTTCAGCAGAAGCCAAGCCTATGCACCTTCAGAGTTTTACATGTTATTTGGACGGAGGTGCAAGTCATTCTTCAGAGGGACGGTTCTGTCTATGTAACAGAGTCATCATTTTTGAGGAAGGACAAGAAGAAACACTTTGAGAGCCCTTTTATTTTGCCAGCTTTCTTATATGAATGTTCAGTAAAAACCATAAATCTGTGCTCTTGTTTAGCGTGGCATGTACTCTGCCTCTAATCCAATTTCTCCTCAGTTTGGTCTCTGTACAGCCTCATTCGGCCTGACAGCTATTTAATAAACCTATTTGCTTTTCTTTGACATGAGGCAGAAGTGGTGGGTGTTGAAGAGCTATAAGGCCCTGGTGCACCATGAAACCTTGTCCAACTCAACACTCTTCCAGCTCAGCACAAATAGATTGTGTAGAACTCAAAATTAACCCATCCAAACCGCCTGCAGTTTTTTCTTTCTAATTTCTTAGCGTAACCCGCATGAACCGGTTCCAGTCAGATTTACGCTTTCTTTCTCTCAAAGAAAACATTTATTTATTTCTTGCCTCTAATCAAATTTACACATTCAGAGATCAGGGAGCTTCTTCACAGACTGTCAACAGAGCATTATGGATGCAACCCATCTCTCTTTGAAACATTATTTTCACATAGCTCATTGTTGTACACGAAGCTGGTTTGCGCCCTTTGTTTTTTAAAGAACAGTATCTAAGGATGCATCCAGACAGGTATAATTTGAACAGTGAGCTTACTGTGGAATCTCACTGTGTTTTGCGTGGATGCACAATCTTTTCCAAAGATTAAGTTCAGGAGAAATCCATTCTTAACTTAGCTTTGTGCAACACTGATTGGTTGACTTTCTGTGACATCATGGGGCCACTTCCTCTTCCTTCTCCAGAGCAACTTTCAAATAAAAAAACTAATTTGTGTTTCTTTGTTTGATAAACGAAAGGTAATGAACAAATATTCATTGAATGAACATCTATAATGCACTTTCAAAAGCAAGAAACATGGAAAGTCCTCTTGTAGCATGGGGAGAGAGCAAGCGAGAAAACTAGATGAAACAGTGTTTGATTAACCCTTTTAATTTAAATAATACAGAAAAAACAAAACATCCACAGAAAAGAAAAAATGAAATTGAAAGAATGAAATTGAAAAAACACAGTTCAAAAACATTGAAAACAAACATACTTATTGTATAGTACTCCCCACACCCACCCACAGCTTCCCTTCACCATAATTCGACTTCTTTAAATCTCTATCTCTACATTTACCCTTGTATTCTCCAAATGTATCGTTATTTGTACTTCTTTTATCTCTTTTCTTTTCCAGTTCATACATATACTTTACATTTTTATTCTAGGCATATTAGCATGTCTTTCTTAGAACAATACTTTAACATATAATCTTAGAAACATTTTTCCTTTTTAAATTTTTGATTTGACTGATATCTTTGATTAGTATATATTTAAGTAGCATTTCCCACATGGCAGTGGCTGCAACAGAAAAGTTATGGAAAGGGGTGCAGAATGGGCAAAGTACATTTCTGAGGTGATTGTCTTTGTCCTATATATATCTCTAAAAATGATTCATGCTTCCATTCTAAACATATTTTCCCTGTAGCGAGTCCAGCAGATTTTGATGGAGTTGTGTTTCAGATAAGCATGCTTAGGATCACTTTATTTTGATTTCCAGATAGGTAGATATTTACATCAGCCACCAGCCATTACAATTTGTGTACAAAGCGCAGACTTATACAACAACTAAGCTGATAAAATTGCCAAGCTAAATTAAATATGATACCATTTAAAACGAAAGAGAACATCGATGCGGCCCTGCCAGATTATGATTGGTTTATAATTTGTATATAAAAAGTTAATTTCCATCAAGTCACCACAGGAGTCCAGCAACAGGGGATAGGGCAGAAATATTTGCTGGGAGGTGGGCGTTGGTTGCTTTGGGTTGCCTGGGCAAGAGAAATGGATTAACAAATTTAAATCATCATCGTCATCATCAGTTCCCCTTCCCCCTCTGGCTCTGCCTATGGCATATGAGAGGAAGCCAACCTCAGTGCATCATTCCGTCCAAAGGCTTAGTCCTTTTTACTGAAGGTCCAGTTTACATGCTTAATGGACTGAGCTTCTTGTACATGTAGCTGCAGTAAACATGTGTGACTCCTTTGCATACGCATACCTCATTCACATAAAAAAGCAGTTTTGTCACTCACACATGAAAACAAAGATCACCACAGCCAATCACAAACGAACAACCACACCCTAGGTCAACCCCAACCTCTCTCACCACCAAAGGAACACAAGCGAATAGCAGAGAACCTGCACAAGCGACGCTGACACAAAATCCCACACATACATTAAGTAAAATAGAAATATCGCCACCCGGCCCCAACCCCACTCACCCTGGCCCCCTCCGCCTCTTTCCCCCTTTTCTTCCTAATATAACACTAATGTCTCAACAAATGAAACTGATCTGTAAAAATGTTACTTGGAAAAGAAAAAAGAGAGAGACTCCTCATATATTTTTAAACCAAATTTTTTTTAAAAAAATAAAAATACATTTAAAAAAGCAGTTTTGTAAAGTGCTCTGACAGTTCGTTTGTTTTTACAGTCAAGCAATATATACCGTATTTTTTGCTCTATAAGACGCACCAGACCACAAGACGCACCTAGTTTTTGGAGGAGGAAAACAAGAAAAAAAAATGCTGAATCTCAGAAGCCAGAACAGCAAGAGGGATCGCTGTACAGTGAACGCAGCGATCCCTCTTGCTGTTCTGGCTTCTGGGATAGCTGCGCAGCCTGCATTCGCCCCATAAGACGCACACACATTTCCCCTTACTTTTTAGGAGGGAAAAAGTGAGTCTTATAGAGCAAAAAATACGGTAAGTTTATTGAAATAAATAAAGTAAAATGTAACACAGTCGGTTTGCACATATATGCACACAGTCACCCCTCTTCTTTGTGTAGAAGGGCTTTGCTAATGACGGTCGTATGTGGCCCACATATAGGAACTAGTGCATATCTCCCCAACTTTCCATAAAAACAAAATCAGTGAGTGCATCAACCGCAGGTTGTTGGGCTTCCCACACTTTAAATAAAACCCAGGGAAAGAGATGGTGAAGCTACTCCTCCCATGAGACTTTATCCAAACGGGAAGTGTGGCAAGCTCTGGAGGCTTCAGGACTCTAGAAGAGTGTTTAACCGTAAGATGAAAAACAGAACGTCCTCGGCCACCTTGCAATGATAAGGAAAACTCAACTCCACACCCACCGAAATTATAAAGAAATTCTAAATCACTGTAGGAACGAGGCAGGAAAAAAAGAAACCTCTTTCACAAGCAAGAAAAACCTTTGAGAGGGTGGGGGGACGAGTTTTGGTACAGCACTGGTGTTAACTGGCCCAAGGGTAGTGTTTCAAGAGACAGCTCTGTAGCACATCAGTAAATGGCTTTGTCTTTTGTAAGTTTGTGTTGATTCAGTGAATTCGGTAAGTGAGAGATTCTGCCCTTGCTGAACTGTGCTCAGTTGTAGCAACCACTAGCACTGTTTGTTTAGAAAGCCCCGATTATCACAGTGAGAAAAGCTTGTTAAAACCACAACCTCTAAACAAAAGCTGCATTAACTGAGTATCCCATGGGCAAAGCAGGGGCTAATCTAAAGACCCGCTGATAAAAATGGAGCAGTGTTAATTAAAAGAATATGGTAATAACTGTAAGTGGGTTTTAAAGGGACACTCTTCAGATTATTTCTGTGGTGAACAGTAAAGATAATTAGCATGCTTTATTAGCTTCATAGACATGTGCAACCAGTACACACATTTCCCTTGCAAGGAAGTGCTATACATGTAGAAAAATCAATAAGCAGCGGACCAAACTAGTTATTTGTCCAGAAGGTATCACTAGTGTGGCATATCTTGACCACCTTTTCTGTCCTTGCCATATGGACAACAACAACAATTTTTTTATACCCCACCCATCTGGCTGGGTTTCCCATACAGAACCCTTGTGTGAGGCAGGAGATTCTGGGAAGCATCCTAGGATGGGATGCTGATCAATTTAGTTGGACCTCACAGTCACCTCAGGCTCACAAATGTGACTAAAATGCACCCAACACTTAGGTAGGCTACACCTTGCAGGAGAAGCTTGATAATGGCAGACAAGCTGTCATTTGCACAAGCTTCTTTAGCACTACTGATCTTGTCATTGAGGAACCTTTCATAGGGTTCTGAGGAAGCACAGGGTTCTCAAAACCCAATTTAAAAATAATTAGCCTGGGTGAGTATGGAGCCATAAGAGCAGGCATGGCCAAACTTGGCCCTCCAGATGTTTTGGGACTGCAATTCCCATCATTCCTGACCACTAGTCCTGTTAGCTGGGGATGATGGGAGTTGTAGTCCCAAAACATCTGGAGTTTGGCCATGCCTGCTGAAATATCCATGGAATCGAGAGTGGATTTCATGCTCTTTATTCAGCTCATAGTGGTGAGGAGGAATGGAAGTTCCCCCAGAATGTCTGCTTTATATACATTATTTACACAATGGGCCCCACATGATTGGCTAATTCTGGGATTCACCTGTAGGCCAATCAGGTTGCGGATTCACTTCCACCTGGAGCTGGATTGGGTGGCTTCTGTGGACCAATCAGACTGCTGCATTCTGAATCCTATTGTTCTAGGACCAATCAGACTGCTGCACTCTGAATCCTATTGTTCTAGGACCAATCAGACTGCTGCATTCTGAATCCTATTGTTCTAGGACCAATCAGACTGCTGCATTCTGAATCCTATTGTTCTAGGACCAATCAGACTGCTGCCTTTTGGATTCTATTCAACTCACTACATAACACCTGTATAAGAGGCTCACATTCCTCCATTCTTCTGAAGTGGGAAGCCTCCTTTGCTTGTGAAAGCTCTACTGTGGCTCTGTTTAACTAGACTTTTAAATTGTGGGGAGCAGAACCTCACAAGTACATGAGTCTCCCTGCTTCTGGAGAATGCGGCTCAGCATGTGTGTGACTGTAAATAGGGGGGCTGTGGTGTGCTGGAGAGAGTGAGGCTCGTCAGCAACCTCTGTGCTTGCAATCGTGCAAGGGAAATGAGCACTTGAATAGGGCTAAGGTCAGATCTCCATCAAGATCCCAGGTAATCAGAGCCGGCCCACCCATGAGGCGGGGTGAAGCAGCTGCCTCAGGTGGCGGAAACACAAGAGATGGTGCCCCGTTCCTGCTCACTGGAATGGCCCCCTTTCCCTAACAAGAGGGAAGCGTTACAGCATGGGGCATTGCTGCTCCTCTTCCCCACTTCTGGGTCAGAGAAGAGGCATGGTGGGAGGGCAGGAGAAGGTGACCAAATGGGACGGGCTGCCTCTGTAGCAATTTTCAACCTTATCGTTTTCAGCACTCTTTGCTCCTCTCCAGCACTCCACCCTGCTGTTGCAGCTTTTTGATCCCTTCTAAATGTGGTCATAGTGTTGCTGGTGTGGATTATACAAGCTGAGGACCACGTGCAACAGATCCCTTGAAAGGGCAATAAACAGATCTCTTGGGGAACACAAGATTACAGAGCTTTGTATACTATAGTTAAGAGTTCGACTTCATTTATAGGGTTGGCTGAGGAGCAGGGCATCTGAAATTCATGGGGCAGCAATATCCCCTCCACACTGCTTAGGTTGTGTTACACTGGCATGCGTATAAATTTTCAGAGACAGAGTGGATTTCGGTAGATTTGTATTACCATGTTTTAAATTAGAGGCTCTCTGGGATTCAAAGAAGTCAACAAGTTTGCTCTGCAAGTCTGAAAAGCACAATTTGTTTTTGCTCTCTAACTCATTGCTTTTAAAATGGGGATGGGAATTTAATTTTGTAATGAGTACGATAACTTAATTTACATGCTTTTAAAATTATCTACCCATATTAGTTGCCCGTGCTCGCTGTCAGTTTCCTAAAATAGGACAAGGACTTTTCTTCTTTACTTTGAGTCTTTGCATTTGGGGTTGGGCACCAATCAAGGAATCCCAGAGTAGAGATGTGTAGCAGAAACCTGCCAATCATCAATTAAGAGAATGGGGGGGGGGACGGGACGACTACATATGAAGAAAAGTGAAGGCTGGCTCCCTCAATTTCTTCCATTCACTGTTTTTCTGCTTTATACATAGATCCAAAGATTGGCTAATTATAGATTAGATTCCTCTTGGAGACCCCACCCCCACATAGAAAGCCTATTTGAGCTCTGATAGTGATATATTTCGCATCTTGGAATCCCAGAAGTAAATGTTTGCTTTCAAGGTCATAAATAAGGAATGGAAGCGTCCTCTGTTTCACACGTACAGGACACACACCACTTTGTTTCTCTACACTTGCTCATTGCACAAGTGCCGGGTGAGATCCCCCTGGCTCAAGTTAGATTGGCTCAGGGGGGCAAAAGTGGAGCTACATTCCTGGGAATCATTCCAAGTCAATCTGAATTTGGATTGAACTCATCCCCGCGGATCCACTAGCTTCCTTTCCCTGCCAGGGCTGTAGCTCAGTAGAAGAACATCTGTTCTGCATGCAGTAGATCTAGTCGATTCAGTCCCTGGGATGTCCACGTGGGGCTGGGACAAACCCCTGGTTGAAACCCCAAGGCGTCTGTGAAGACTAAGCTAGATGGATGGACCAATGGTCTGGTTCAGTATAAGACACTTTCCTATACTCCTAAGCTCCCTTCCTCATACCCACCAATTCTCCATGCCTCCTTCCCTTGCTCTGCACTTTCCTGAATCTTTGTTGGAGAAGAATTGTGTGTGTGTGTGTGTGTGTGTGTGTGTGAGAGAGAGAGAGAGAGAGAGAGAGAGAGAGAGAGAGAGAATGCTTTCCTAATAGTTGAGATACGCATTATGTGTGCTGCATAAAGGTAAAGGGACCCCTGACCATTAGGTCCAGTCGCGGATGACTCTGGGGTTGCGGCACTCATCTCGCTTTATTGGCCGAGGGAGCCGGCATACAGCTTCCGGGTCATGTGGCCAGCATGACTAAGCCGCTTCTGGCGAACCAGAGCAGTGCACGGAAATGCTGTTTACCTTCCCGCTGGAGCGGCACCTATTTATCTCCTTGCACTGGTGTGCTTTCAAACTGCTAGGTGGGCAGGAGCAGGGACCGAGCAATGAGAGCTCACCCCATTGCGGGGATTTGAACCGCCGACCTTCTGATCGGCAAGCCCTGGGCTCTGCGGTTTAACCCACAGTGCCACCCACATCCCATATGTGTGCTGCATATATACTGCCTATTTCCCCATTTTATCCTCACAACAACGCTGTGAGGGAGGTTGGGGTGCAAGATAGCAATTGCTCCAAAGTCATCTGGCAAGCTTCATAAATGAGTGTAGATTTGAAACTGAGTCTTCTCAGCCCTTGGTCTCACTCTTGAGTGACTGTGCCACGCTGACTCTCACACAGTTGCAGCATGACTCGGTTGTGCATCAACACCCAGCTGATATTCATCTATCCTACAGATTTGTGAAGAAGAGTTTGGATTTGATATCCCGCTTTATCACTACCCTAAGGAGTCTCAAGGCAGCTGACAATCTCCTTTCCCTTTCCTCCCCCACAACAAACACTCTGTGAGGTGAGTGAGGCTGAGAGACTTCAGAGAAGTGTGACTGGCCCAAGGTCACCCAGCAGCTGCATGTGGAGGAGCGGGGAAGCAAACCCGGTCCCCCAGATTACGAGTCCACTGCTCTTAACCACTACACCACGCCGGCACTCTAAACCACTGTTTGTGGAGATGCTGGAATTTCGCCTGGTCCTGGTCTAAAAACTGGGAGAAGTCAAACTGAGGAATGCTATTTGACCATGTTTCAATTGAGTGAGCATATTAGTATTGAAAATTGGTGGCTTTTCTTCCTGAACTGATTTGGAGCATCCTTCAGGGGATCCTTCTGTGCAAGCCTCAGTGAGGGGCACATTACCCATGACGCCAATCATATGCTTTGTCAGTCCCCCTCCCTGCTCCCCCGTTGTGGTCCCGATTCAGATCTGAGCTCCCAGCACCTACTATTTGCATGGAGAAAATCTCCCATTAGATTCAATTGGGCCTTTCTCCAGATGCAAATAGTGGGTACCAGGAGCCCAGTGCAGGATGGGACCACAGCAGGAGTCAATGGGTTCATCCTTCCATCTCCTACTCCAGGGTCCAATCTGGATCAGGGCCTCAGCTCTGGCTATTTGCGAAAGAAAAATCTTGCACTTGGGGGCGAACCACGTTATCAACGCCACAAGTAGTTTGGCTTTGAGATGAATCTGGGGTGCAGGAGTGTGCGGCGATTTCAGTGGCACTTCCCAAAGAACCTCATGATGGATTGCGCCTCTGAATATCTGAATATCGTGTTGTTAGAATAAATCCTGAAAACACCACCCTAATGTATAAATAATGCATTGAATGCTAGTTTTATATTGTACACTCCTCTTTTTGTGGTGATGGATTTACTATATAACAAGCCAGTCGTATGGACAGAATCAATGGAAAGGCAATTTTAAACAATATACAAGTGCAATCGTGCCAAGCCACGATACAGCAAGAGGGCAGATTATTAACATATGTCAGTATGTGAAAATGCAGCTCGTCTTGTTGTGGTTGTGACCAGTGCTCTGTAGGTCTTCCCTGTGGTATGATCCCTGCCGTTGCCAGGAGTATGAGGGACAGCGTGCTGTTTGCCAACCCTCTGGATGAAGTAGCCAAAAATCTGCGTCCCGAGATATGTAAGGAAGTGTCCTTTTTCACTCCTGCAAGTACTCCCAGAATTAAAACATGAGAGTGGATTTTACATGTTTGCCCAGGAGTCAGATACAAATACGCCAAGCCACCCCCAGATTCTTACTGCGTCCGAAGACCAATATGTTGGATACTTGACATGGATTACAGTCAAACCTTATTCTGCGTCCGCCTCCGCTTGCATCCGCTTCGGCAAATGTCCGTGGCAAACCTGGAAATACCGGAGCAGGTTACTTCCGGGTTCACCGCTTGCACATGCACAAAACGCTAAATCGTGCTATGCGCAGATGCACACTTTTTGGGTGGCAGCAGGGCCTCCGGAACGGATCCCCACCGTAACCCAAGGTTCCACTGTATATGGCTTTTTACAGCCCATGTCTCAGGGGACTTGGACAGGGCCATCTTAGGAATATCTGGCGCCGTGGTGCAAAGATCCCTCCAGCGCTCCCCTTTCCCAGAGTTGCCCCTTTCCCAGAGGAGTTGACCTTTTTTAGAGAGAACGACGCTGCCAACAACACACCCAGCTTTGTGGGGCTGGAGGAGGTGGGCAGCGGCTGGAGGGCATCTCCTCTGGCGGGGAAGAGGCGGAGGCTGGACGCGGCAGCTCCTGGCTCAGCTGGCCGCTTTGTGCTATGGTGGCCGTGGCAGGTGGAGGCTCTGGGCATGGCGTTGCTTCGGCGCAGCATGGCGCAGGCAGGCAGGGGTGGCGAACTGATGCCGGGAGGCACCATGTCCAGCCTCCGCCTCTTCCCTGGCGCCCTTCAGAACTTGGCGCCCTGTGCCACTAGCCTCTATGGGTAAGACGCCCCTGGGCTTGGGGTCAGTTGGCCCTAGATCTTTGAACATTGGGATTTGACATTTGAGTTTAAAGGTTTTGAGTAGAGGAGCAGGGGCGTCATGTCCTGTTTCACCGCTTGAGGCAAAACAGGGATGTGCCGCTCCACTCCCACCACTGCCACCGAAGCCTGCCCGACCTACGTTGTGCAGCGGCGCATGCAAAGCACCGACAGCAGCACCATCTTATGGTGAGATCTTGCCAGAATCTTGTGAGATCTTGCAAGGTTTCAGCGAGATCTCGTCAGAAACCAGTGCCACTTCTGTAGTCGCTTCACCTCGCCTCATGGGTGGTCTAGCCCAGTGTTATGTACTGAGCTGAATCCTAGAACAATAGGATCCAGAATGCAGCAGTCTGATTGGTCCGCAGGACCCACCCAATCCAACTCCAGGTGGAAGTGAATCAGCGACCTGATTGGCCTGCAGGAGCAGCCAATCAGGCTTCTGGAGGAAGTGAATCTGCAACCTGATTGGCCTACAGGAGCAGCCCGGAATTAGCCAATCATGCGGGGCCCATTGTGTAAATAATGTATATATAGCTAGACGTTTGGGGAAAAGTTTCATTCATTGCTACTACGAGCTGAATAAAGAGCATGAAATTCACACTCGACTCCGAGTATATTTCAACCTGAGATCAAGGTAGCCAACTGTTGGCCTTCAAGGTACCCTTGAACCTTACTCTGCTTTTGCTTCTGTGAGGGGTGCTTCTTAATGGCCAGGCACCCCTTTCATTTCCTAATGAGAAAAGCATCCATCCAATGAAAAGAGACCCTGCGCCTCATACAGCAATACCCAGTGAAAGTTGCTTAAGTTGGTGAGTCACATGACCCTTCCCCACCTTGTAGGGTAGTCTTCTGCTGGGAAATGATGCAAAGTATCAGAGACTTCTGCAATGACACAAAGGTCTATAGCCAACCTCTTATTTCAGCAAGAGACTGATATCTTTCAGGTTACAAATAGTGTGCCCCCTGTCTCATGTACAGTGGCCCCCGCTCCAGGGGGCTGAGGCTCTTTGGGCCCCCTCATCTCTCTGTTTTTTTGAGGGGGCTGGGCATTTGTTGAGAGCATACGTGGAGCCAGGTGCAGAGCGACATCAGGACGTCGCGTGATGTCAGGGTGTCACATTCGGTCCCCTCCATGTTCTTCGGAAGATGGTACCTCTGCTCATGTACTCCGTATCCTAACCAAGTCAAATTCCAAAATCCACATTGGAACAACATGGCTTCCTTTGCGTTCAGTGAGGCTTAACTGACACAGTGCTAACGTCTGGCTTAGAAGCAGCATGTGAGAGAGCCAGAACAGAATCTTCAAAACAAGCAAATATTAGCAGCATAGCTTCATGTTTCGCTAAACCCTAAATTTCACCAGGGAATATTTTTTCCTGGCACCACTATCCCCCATGAGGTCTTCAGCTCTGACGTTTTGAACTCGGAATTTGTGCATTTCCTTCTCTGTCTGGTTTGCTTTCGGTATTTTTCTGTAAAAATACCAAAACCAAAACAGATTTCTACCTGGTTTTATTATTTCTGCGTCCAGCTTCTTATTTGATTTCTTCATTTTTGGTCACGAAAGGGGAATTCCACATTACGGTTTGCACCGCAGAGAGGACGAATATTGCTTGCAGTCAGTCTGTGAATGTGCCGGCGGGGGAAGGGGAGGCAAGGCACGGGACACAATAAATTTAATTTTGCCTGCCTGAAAGGGCCATTCTCCACCAATGAGATTAAAATATCACTGGCACTAGAAGTCAGTCCCAAGTATATTTCTTTTCTGTCAGCAAAACATTCCCCTCTTGCCCTCTCTTATCTAATGGCTTCTCTTCATCCTTGCTCCTCGCCTCATTACCGCTGGAAGACTTGTTGGTTTGGTCAGACTCTTGTCTCTCAGGCCAGGAGCCCTTAGCAAGAGCAGCTCAGAAAGTCTATCAGTGGCAAGTGGAGCTGCCCTTTGCTCAGAACAGCGTTCAGTTGCTTCAAGAGATTGCCCTGCTAATTAGATGTATTTTGTTGTTGTTGTATAGTCGTTTAGTTGTGTCCGACTCTTCGTGACCCCATGGATCAGAGCACGCCAGGCACTCCTGTCTTCCACTGCCTCCCGCAGTTTGGTCAAACTCATGTTGGTAGCTTCGAGAACACTGTCCAACCATCTCGTCCTCTGTCGTCCCCTTCTCCTTGTGCCCTCCATCTTTCCTAACATCAGGGTCTTTTCCAGGGACTCTTCTCTTCTCATGAGGTGGCCAAAGTCTTGGAGCCTCAGCTTCAGGATCTGTCCTTCCAGTGAGCACTCAGGGCTGATTTCCTTCAGAATGGAGAGGTTTGATCTTCTTGCAGTCCATGGAACTCTCAAGAGTCTCCTCCAGCACCATAATTAGAAGCATTATCAAGTTGCAAAACTTGGTCAGTGCACAAGCAATCTCTGTTAAATGTCTTGGGCAGTACCAGACCCGGCTGCCTTGTCCGGATCTTTCTGGGCCGGTTTTCTGAAGCCCTGTTGCTTGATTTTCAGTCTAGAACTGTTGTGTCAAAGGCTGCGTACGTTCCATACTTGTAAAGCGCCCTTCCAAAGAATCCTGGGAACTGTAGTTTGGTAAGGGTGCCAGAAATTGTAGGTCTCTGAGAGGTGAACTACTGCTCCCAGGATTCAGGGTTTTTTTAAAAAAAATGTATGCTATGTATGTAGATAATCTCAAAATTCTTGGGTTTTATTCAGATCTCTCATAAGTGGATATCAGAGTTACATGGGTCAGAGTTACAGAATCTTTTGGGCTTTTTTCAGAACTCTCATAAGTGGGGTTTAATAACAACAACAACAACAATAATAATAATAATAATTTATTATTTCTACCCCGCCCATCTGGTTGAGTTTCCCCAGCCACTCTAGGCAGCTTCCAATCAAGTGTTAAGAACAATACAGCATTAAATATTTAAAACTTCCCTAAACAGGGCTGCCTTCAGATGTCTTTTAAAGATAAGATAGCTGCTTATTTCCTACACATCTGGTGGGAGGGCATTCCACAGGGCGGGCGCCACTACCGAGAAGGTTCCCTGTAACCTCACTTCTCACAATGAGGGAACCGCCAGAAGGCCCTCGGCGCTGGATCCGGTGTCCAGGCTGAACTATTTAGGAAGAGGGAAGAGGCAAATGCCAATGTTGATTGCCTCCTCCTTCATATCTGGAGAATCAAAATGGCTAATGTATTACAGCCCAGCAGCATCTCATAGTGGCCTCCTCCTGAAGACTATTTATTGAAGTCTTGTGACTTGGAGGTCAGCAGCAAGCAGAGCGTCCTGGGAGCCTTTAGTGTTCTGCCACTGGTTTCCTAACACCACTGCATCTTTTCATGTCAGATTTGTGTCCATTTTCCCCTCCTGCGTGGAGAGCCTGAGCTATCTGTCCTACATAAACAGCAGAAGCACGTTGTTGGCAGGTGATGGCAGATGTCATGCCGGAGGATGTGCTTCTGATGGCGCGGCTGATGTGATTTGGTTCTGAAATCATAGTGGCGGAATCAGTCTGGAGATAAGAGTTGACACCAGGGTTTGTTGCAAGGCCATTCCCAAGGGATTGGGCCTCCTTTTGGTGACCCGTTCCTGCTGGCGAGTTGTAGCAGCCTTGATCTATTTCCTTATATTTAAAAGATGTATATATGCTGCTCCTCACCAAAGCTTCTGGGAACGATTCACAAAAGCAAGATTAAAACACAATGGAATATGGGTAGCAGCAGGTTTAAAAAAATAAAATAAAAACACATTTGTCCAATGGGAAAAGGTTAACAGGGTTGGTCCCAGGTGGGTCTCTTTTTGATGGTGCAGCAGTGACTCCCTGCTGCCTGTGTAGATTGGTGCATAACCCAAGCCCTTTCTCACATATGTGGAAACTGCAGATGGCAAGGCTATCCTGTGTAGCACCGTGTGACACACACACAAACAGAGAGAGAGAGAGAGAGAGAGAGAGCACATTCACTAAACATGGGTGAGGGGTCAACAACAGGAGCTCCCTTAAGGTTGTTCTGAGATCATATATGTGGCATGGTATGAACATCACAAAAGTGCTGTATAAATGCTAACTACTACAATCCATTCTGCTTTATATCTTTTCCTTTGGCCCAAGGACCACTCGCTCACCATTTGGTTAAAGGTCAGTTTTGCATCCCTGTTTCCTGTTCAACTGGGTCTGCAATGTTTTGCCACTCAGCACAGACGGGGTTTTCCTTATCAAATGGCAGGATTCTTGCAGCCTTTTTCCTGCCTGGCAGTTGCAGACATGAGTGCTGAGTTACAGATATAACTAGTCTGAAATTTCTCCTTTGGAAAGACACCCCATAGCTACCTTGTCTGGCTCCACTTATAAGCCGTGTGTGTGTGTGTGTGTGTGTGTGTGTGTGTGTGTGTGTGTGTATTCACTCTTTCTCTCAGCTCCAGGTCTCCAGATTTCTGGGGGACTCTGAAAGGGAAGCCATTTGTTCTCTTTTCCTATTTCTTTCTTGCCCTTATCCGAAAACAGCCACCCTATCTGTAAGCGACAACTGTGGAAAATGTGCCCTGGCCACTTGGCGCGAAAGATAGGCGAGACTCCGAAAAAATCTTCTCCACAGCTTATCACCTTTTTGCTGGCTCCACAACAGGCCAGCGTCCCAGCTTAGGAGGAAACTGACTGTCTGTAATCCTGAGCAGGGCCTCATCAACCACTGATAAGCTTCCCTGTGAACTTGCAGGCACTTCTGGGTTTATTATCCTTTCAAATACTATAGAAGCTATTGCATGACAGATTAGATATATACACACATGCATACACGAGGTGAGTGCATTTATTAATATGGTTTTCAAATGTGATGGGTGTAAAGGTAAAGGGTAAAGGGACCCCTGATCATTAGGTCCAGTCGTGAACGACTCTGGGGTTGCGGGGCTCATCTCGCTTTATTGGCCGAGGGAGCCGGTGTACAGCTTCTGGGTCATGTGGCCAGCATGACTAAGCCGCTTCTGGTGAACCAGAGCAGCACACAGAAATGCCGTTTACCTTCCCGCCAGAGCGGTACCTATTTATCTACTTGCACTTTCGAATTGCTAGGTTGGCAGGAGCAGGGACCGAGCAATGGGAGCTCACCCCGTCATGGGGATTCGAACCGCTGACCTTCTGATCGGCAAGCCCTAGGCTCAGTGGTTTCACCCACAGTGCCACCCACATCCCAGGTGTAAGTTGCTGCAATTCTGCTTCACCCATTCCTCACTGACAGGACCTAGTTCACATGGTTCCCTGTCTCTGCATGCCATCCCACTCTGGTAACATATGAAATGAGGAAATTGCATGGAAGGAGTAGAAGACACGAGAAGTATTGGGTAATTTTCATCGTTTGACATTTCATTGTGTTTTTATATGTGCCGGAAGCCGCCCAGAGCGGCTGGGGAAACCTAGCCAGATGGGCAGGATATAAATAATAAAATTACTAAGTTAATATATTGCCACATCTGAGGCTTGTGCCTGAATAGGATGGGAGGAGAGACGTAACTGTGTTAATACATATCCTAGTGTTTGGTGTAATACAGCTTAGCTGCTATTGATCGCTGAATTACTAGCCAACTTTCCCTGCCCAAATTCAGGACTAAATACAATGATGTGAGGAGTGGTCAGGCGGACATGTCAGTGATCTGGTGGCTGGCTGGGGACCACTGCAGGCCTTCCAGAGGATTGGCCAATGGCAGGCAGGCCTGGGTCCAGAGATTCCCCAGGGGGCGGGCCCAACCAGCCAATGGGCATTGCTTGGGTCTGCCCCCTGGGGGAATAAATTGAGGCTGGCCCAGCACTCCTCAGCGTAAGCCTAAGTCTTGACTGGAGGGGAGGTTGTAGCCTCTGCCAGCCCCTCCTTGGTTAAAGTACCCTGTTAAATGCATCCGTGAGGAGTTGCTTCTGTCCAGCACCCAGATGGGGACTAGGGTCATAGCACTCCTCCAGTAGGGAGCCCTATTTGATGTAGGTCATAGGACACCCCACCACCACCATGGTGTGGTTTACCCTTAGATACACGTCCATCAGACTGGCTGGAGTTAATTAAATTGCTTGTTCCAAACATTTTCCATTTGTAAGCAAGTTGTGGCCTGTTTGAATCCCAAATCTATATGCTGCTTTCTTATCAAGTTATTTCACTACATAGGGAGTGACTGGGTCACATGGCCTTGACACACAGCTTCTTAGGTGTGCTGGGCCCAGGGGTAACCTGTGAAACATGGTCCAGGACTGGTCCAGAATCCGAAGGTTCCTCTAGCAGTCAGTCCGACAGGGCCAAGGCAGGACACGAGGCAGGAAACCAGGCAAGGACAGTACAGGATCTCAGGAGGGATCTAGCATACAGCAATGTTGCTCCCGCAACCTGGGGCAGGGTCCAACAGCCTTTTATCTTTGTCCGGGTAGCGGCCGGTCCTGATCCCCCGGTGATTCACCTCCCTAGGCGAGCACTCCTCCTTTGAGTACTCAGGTCTCTCCTTCTCTCAGACCTGAGTCTTTGCAGCTCGGGAGATGTCAGTGGGTTACTAGACCCAGAGGCCGCCTCAGCCTCTCCTGACCCAACTGGTAGTGGAGCAGCTGTAAGTGATGGCCCTGCTGAAGGCAATGAGGTAATCCCCGCATCTGGAGCCAGGGCAGGCTCAGGTCCCTGACTTGGCCCAGCTGGTGTTTGTTGCAGGGGAACCTGTGCAGACTGGGACTCTTCAGGATCAGGCCCCAGACTTGGTTCAGATGATGCCTGAGGCAAAGGATCCGGTGCAGACTGAGTCTCCTCTGGTTCTGAGTCTGAGCCTGAGTCCCGGGCAATCACATTAGGTAAGCAATGTAGGAATGCCCATCAGTTTAGCCCACAAAGCATGGCATGCCACAGGGAAGGTGAGACTTGTTCCCCTGGGGTAATTGATTGATGTTTACCAGACTGCCTTGGGACAGTCACTGTCACTCAGCCAAACCTACACCACAGGATTGTTTGGGCAATAATGGGAAGAGCTCGTGAGCCCCTTGGAGAAGGGCAAAATAAAAATGGCATAAAGAAATAAAACCTGGAGCCATTTAATTTTGTATAGCAATAGCCACTTGGTGTACAAAACTAGAGCGTGAGTACAAACTGATGGGCAATGAATCTTGCCCTTTGTATGACGCTGTGCCAAAACCAACACTGACCACTGTTTCTGTGTTTAATGAGGAGCAAGTCGCAATCCAGTGGCTGTAAAACACTGCAAAGGATCATCATAACTGACAGCTGCTATCTACTGAAAGCTGAGACTCTGAATGGAGTTGGTGGAGCCCGTGTAGGGGAGCATGATGAGTCTTGGGTTGATAAAGAGAGAGTCTAATATCCTCCTCTGTTGCCTGAAACATGATTAGCATGCTATTAAGGGCCTGAACACAATGACAACTCACTTATTCAAGACCAAATGCACCAGATGTTAGGCCATTAGTGTGCGCGCGCACACACAGACTGAAGAAAGGAGAAAGTAGAATCTTATATGTATACTTGAGATTATTTTAGAATTATTGCCTAGGTTTCCTGTCCTAAGAGAAATAGAACCATAAATTCAAAGGTGCATGATCAGATCAGTCTTTCTACAGAGAAAGAAAGTGCTTAGTTCCTTGCTGCATGATTGTGTGTGCCACAATAAGTGTGCAACGCTCATGCTGAGCACCCGGCGGCAGCCATCTTGGAAGCAGTGTGCAAATCAGAATCTATCCTACATTTCCTGCAAGGCCAGCAATCGATGTGAAAGGAGAGCACACCCTAGAATCCTCTCGGGGCTAAACTGGATATGTGTTGAAATCCAGAGTGAGTAGCTACATATATTGTAGAGGGAGTCCAGTTCTCACTGTGAAGTCAGTGGGCAGCAAGTGAAGGTGTATCTCTTTTGAATGGAGATAGTACATACAAACAAATTACATAACTATGACTAAGGTTCCCCCAAGTCTCTTAGCCCAGAATGAGGGGCGATATCCATTCTGATCTCAGTAAGGGACTGAAAAGAAAAGTTGCTTTTACGGTGGAATTTCTTCTCTCTCTGTCTTTCTATTTTCTGCCACACTCCTTTTTCTCTTTCACTGTGAAAATAAATGGTAAACAAGCAGTTTGCACTAAGTGAAGATGCTTAATACAACAGTGTAGTTGGAGATGGGAGGGTGGGTTTTGGGACAATATGAATCATTTGTAATTGACACCTACTGTTTTTTTAAAAAGACCCAGTTCTGAAATAAACAATAAAAATGATGTATTTTTGTCAGATTAGGCATTTGTGTGGAAACTGTCACGTTTGGGCACCTCTGAAACACCCGGAAGCATTTGTGATCCTTTACTGACAGGGGTAACAAAAGCTGCTGATTGTGGGAAGAGTGTGTCCCTATTTGCACATCAACACCTATTTCACAAAGAGGGCTGATGGATGAGAAGGTGGTAGGAGAATGTGGCTATGGATTCAGTAGCACTGAAAAGTCTCTTTCTTCCAACAATGTGTGACTTTGCCAACAGGAGGTGAATGGAGAGCATTTGTAAAAAGCTCCAGGTTCAGAAAACAGGCCGGATTAGAGGAGATCCGAATGCAAAGCCCCCTTCAAGTCAACCCATTTCCAAAAATGAAATATGTGTGGCAATGTTCTGCCATACCATTTTAAAAAAAAAATTATAGAAATGAGTATGCCATAAAAAGTCTTTTATTATTTATAATTTTACCTGTCACTTTATGCCATACACAAATGGTAGGAAATACCATAAATTGCAGTCTGCTAAGATTAAATTAGGGACGCAGGTGGCACTGTGGGTTAAACCACAGAGCCTAGGACTTGCCGATCAGAAGGTCGGCGGTTCGAATCCCCACGATGGGGTGATCTCCCATTGCTCAGTCCCAGCTCCTGCCAACCTAGCAGTTCGAAAGCACGTCAAAGTGCAAGTAGATAAACAGGGTACCGCTCCGGCAGGAAGGTAAACGGCGTTTCCGTGCACTGCTCTGGTTCGCCAGAAGCGGCTTAGTCATGCTGGCCACATGACCCGGAAACTGTCTGCGGACAAACGCTGGCTCCCTCGGCCAATAAAGCGAGATGAGCGCCGCAACCCCAGAGTCGGTCACGTCTGGACCTAATGGTCAAGGGTCCCTTTACCTTTACCTTTACCTTTAAGATTAAATTAATATCTAACAGCAATACGTTCAGAGGCTTACTGTTTACACTTTATGGCTATGGATTTGAATGCAAGGATATTTGACTCGAAATGTGATAGGTGCAATCTATGGCTGTATGAAGGACACACACGCACAAAATAAACTAGAACTGCTATTTTGGACACCTGTAGTTCAGACTATGTAGAGTCTCCATTAGATTTCTCTGATTTGCTGCACATCTCTAATTCCGTTTTCCTAAGGGAGTCCCATTAAAAAGTTGGACCATGTTCCAGATGGCCTGACCAAGGCCATGATCCAGCGGTGCTTCCCCATTACCAGCTATGGGAAGAGAAAGAGTCTTTGATAGACCATATGAATTTTTTCCTCCCATAGCTGGCGATGGGAGCCATATGAGAACTTCACATTGTGTGTTTTGATGTGCAAAAAAAGGGTGCATGATCAAATCATACATTTCCCTTCCCATAAAGCATGTTTGCTTCATCAGTTCCATTAATGGAGCCTAAGAGCTCCTTTGTGCCTGTTATTATGTATTTGTAGTTTAAGTAAATGAAGATACTTTAAGGAGGTCTGTTCTGAAGAACCAACCTATCAAGTAACAGTGAGGCTTATGGGTACTGTTCCTTATTCTCTCTGGTGCCTTCCTGCCTATATTTGCCTTGTACATCCATGGATTATAAGCTCTTCTTGGAAAGGTCACTTGTGTTGGGTGGCTCTCCTTCTCACTGCTCTGCTACAGAAAGTAGAGGGAGAATGGCCCCAAAGCACTATGGGTAAGAACATGGAGGCAAGCGGAAAGGCTGATTTATGGTGCAACTGGTCTGGGAAAATCGAGGAGCAGACGACTAGACTGTATTTCATTGGAATTGACTAAAATGGCGCCGGCCGCTTGAACAGGACTTTTGGACTTTTGGATCAGCATGAGGAATTACGGGAGAGCATTACAAAGTTCACACAGAATTGTAAACAACAATGCTGTTTTTTTCAACTCGCTTGTGGAAACAACTCGGAGGTTATTAAGAAGAAAAACGATAATAACAAGGAGATGGGAAGATGGGACTTGTGAATATCAAAGCAGCAGAAATATGAGATGATTGGACCCCTACCGAACTCGAAACATGGGTACCCCCCACAAAAAAATTAAAATTCGGTTAAATATTTGGACTATGTGATATGTATTGGCATAATTTGGAATAATTAATATGATATGATTGGTTTGTTAAATGGAAATGTAATAAAAAATATTTTTTAAAAAAAAGAATGTGGAGGCAAGCTGTGACCTGGCGCAAACCATTAAAGTGTTAAGGATGCCAGACTAGGATCCTGGGGGACCTTGAGTCAGCCACCATCCCTCACATGGTTGTGAGGATAAAATGGAGGTGTGGGGAGCCACCTATAGTGCCTTGAGCTCGTTGGAGGAAAGGCAGGGCATGTCGGTAGCAAAGAAACAAATAAGCAAGGCGTGTGCAGGTTCCAGCATAGAACCAGCAGCTCTGCATACGTGTTGGCGGACACACATCCAGTTTGCAGAAATTCACTGTATAACTCTCCTGCTCTGTGGGTTTGGGGAGAACCCAGAGCAAGATTCTCTCTCAGTCAGAAGTACTGGGTTACTGAGCAGAGCTGCAGTGACTTTTAGCAGATGCTTTTAATTAAGAAGGCATCCCTGCTCCAGTTCCTGGCATCCCTGGTTCAAGAAAAGTCATGAAGCAGGGCTGGAAAGGGGCTCTGTCTGGACACCTGGAATGTTGTGAAATAGCCAATGTTCCCTCCCTCCAAGATGTTCTTGGGCTCCGACTCTCATCAACTTCATCCTGCATGGTGGAGATTCATGAATCTGGGCCTAGTTTAGAAGCGTCTCTCGTGAACAGTAGGTGTTTTTTGTAAAGAGGCATGGACATCGCAACAACTGTTAGATAAACTAATCCAGAATGCGGCAGCTAGACTGGTGACCGGGGGTGACCGCCGAGACCACATAACACCGGTCCTGAAAGACCTACACTGGCTCCCAGTACGTTTCCGAGCACAATTCAAAGTGTTGGTGCTGACCTTTAAAGCCCTAAACGGCCTCGGTCCAGTATACCTGAAGGAGCGTCTCCACACCCATCGTTCTGCCCGGACGCTGAGGTCCAGCACCAGTGGCCTTCTGGCGGTTCCCTCATTACGAGAAGCAAAGCTACAGGGAACCCGGCAGAGGGCCTTCTTGGTAGTGGCGCCCACCCTGTGGAACGCCCTCCCATCAGATGTCAAAGAGATAAACAACTACCTGACATTCAGAAGACATCTGAAGGCAGCCCTGTTCAGGGAAGTTTTTTAATGTGTGACATTTTAGTGTATTTTGGGTCTTTGTTGGAAGCCGCCCAGAGTGGCTGGGGAAACCCAGCCAGATGGGCGGGGTACAAATAAATTGTTGTTGTTGTTGTTGTTGTTGTTAACTAACTTTTCTTTTCTTTTTAAACTTTTGGTTCAACCCCACCCGCACCCCTTGGTGGAATTTTATGCATTCCGAAAGCAACGCATTTTGCTCTTCCAAACTATTTTTATGAGGCCCATGGATAAATCCCCTCTGACAAGTATGAGCTGGTGATATCCAGATAGGGAAGGAGCTTAGTCAGAGGCAGAGAAATCACCACGACCTTTGGGTTGGTAAGAGAACTTGCACAAAGGACTCTTGTGAGACATCACCTCTTCTTCACCCCTCTGTGGAAAGGCAGGAGAGGTGGATGACAGAGGCTTTACTCTTGCTGATGAAATAGCAGGGCTGTCGGAGAAGAAATGTTGCTTCAGAGAACTTGGGCTTCTCCGAAACATTCCACCCAAAACTCCCCTCTTGCTGCTCAAAGTTTGGCTGCGTGAGGCAGCACGTCTGTAATCTGGGCTGGGGACGGACGGACACAAAGAGTTTGAAAGAATTATGATTTTCCCTCTGTGATCCATTGGGAACGCTTTGTGTTAGATGATGGGATACATTCCAATGGCTCGTATTCATCAGGGACAGCCCACATTTTCCGATACATGTCTCTGGCACATGACTGGCCCTGTTTTGTATTTGGGGAGTACCTTGTAAAAATTGCTGCTGGCGTGGATTGTTACAGGTTGCCATTCTTCAGGCATCAGACCCCCCACCCCCGGTTCTCTGGAACTCAAATGTACAACGGAAGTGGGGGAAAGACACATTTTGTCTTTAGTCATGCATATACCGTATTTTTCGCTCTATAGGACGCACTTTTTCCCCTCCAAAAATGAAGGGGGAAAGTGTGTGCGTCGTATGGAGTGAATGCAGGCTTTCGCTGAAGCCTGGAGAGCGAGAGGGGTCGGTGCGCACCCGCCGGGCTCCCAAGGCTTGCGGATAGCAGCCTGCTGTCCCCGAAGCCAAAACAGCGAGACGGCGCGCTGCGCAGCCCTCCGTCTCACTGTTCCAGCTTTGGGATGGCTGCGCAAAGCCTCCGCAGGGCAACGGGGTGAAGGCACCCCGCCACCCTGCGGAGGCTACAAAAGATGTCCCCGAAGCCTCAAGCCTTTGGAGTGCAGCTGCGCTCCAAAAGCTTCAGGGATCTTTGAGGCTGGTGGTGGGGAAAAGCAGCGCTTACACCCACCGCCAGCCCCACAAGCTCGGGGAGCAGCGGCAAGGCCTGCTATTGAACGCACCTTGAACGCACCTTGTTTTTGAGGGGGAGAACAAGAATTTTTTCCCCCCCTATTCTCCCTCTCCTATGGTCCGGTGCGTCCAATAGAGCGAAAAATACGGTACATGCAAGAACATGGATGCTAAGGGTCAATGTTGACATGATGCTGGAGATGGATGGAGGCAGATCGTGGTTTTTATTTTATTTTTTATTTGCAAAAAGCAGTTGTGGGCAGTTGGATTGGGACTCTTGCGTGTGTGGAGAGTTGAGCTGATTCCTCCATGCCAGTTTGTGGGGGCAAATCTCACTGCCCCCTCCCCCAAGAGCTGGTGTTATCCACAAAGGGGGAAATGCAGTGCCTTTTTTCGGGGGGTGCATACCCATAAACATTTTGTGAATCTTTGAACTTTTGTCCATTTACTGTATTTATTTTCCCTGATTTGAACTATAAAATTGTGATTTTCTTGAGTCAAAATGAGAGTACCCCTAAATATATTTTTAGGGGGGAAAGCACTGGGAAAATGTATAGGCACAAGTGAAGGGGTTGTATACTCCTGCCCCGCCCCCCGGCTGATGGCAACTCTGATTTGGGATTTGCACCAGTGCAGAATTGGTGCAGGAGCAAAGGCAGGGCTGGCCCAATATATTTTGCCTGAAGAGAAGGGCAAAAATGCCCTATGCCCTATGCCCAATGTTATACATGGAGGAGGGGGTCTAGTAGAAATACGGCCTTAGTGGGAATGAATGACACTCTCAATTTTGTTTTCTCCCAGTTTCTCATTTTTCCATTCTTAAGTTCCGCTCACCACATTCCTGCATCCATTTGTGAATCTGAAATATTTCTCATGGAAGTTCGCCTTCATTTTAGTGTGCACATCTCCAAATGCAACTTGTAAGCAAGTTTCCCCAACATAATGCATTTGTGCACATTATTTTCACTAAGATCTGCATTTGCTCACTCTTTCCCCTAATAAATATGCCCTTTGCATACCTTTTTCTCAATTGAAGAACAGGATTGCTACATTTCTGTTTACATTTTTATTTGAGGAACTGCAAATTAGGTAGGTGAACCTTGCCCAATCTCTCCCATGTCCCTAGTCCTCAGTGGGCCCTTCTCTTCCATCTTCACTTGCCTGGCAGTTTCTCCTCTAGGCATAATTCGCACTGTTGCCCAGGGTGAAAGAAGAGATGGATGGACAGACAGTGGAGATGCCACTAAATACTACTTTGGGTGCATTCAGGTGATAGTGCTTTCATAAAATATACCTAATCAAAACCTGTCTGCTGTCATCTATTGTTGTCAAGGCTGGGCTTGTCCTTAGTATTTTGCTGCTGTTGGTGTACCGCTTGCACTTGAATTTTCTGATCATCCTTCTGTTTTGTTGCTTTATGATATTTTTGTATATAGATACCCTGAAGGTCCCATTAGGGATGGAAGATGTGGGATCTATCTTTTTTTATAAATAACTGGGCACACATTTGCTACAATGACATGTAAAGGTAACGGTAAAGGGACCCCTGACCATTAGGTCCAGTCGTGGCTGACTCTGGGGTTGAGGCGCTCATCTCGCTTTATTGGCCGAGGGAACCGGCGTACAGCTTCCGGGTCATGTGGCCAGCATGACTAAGCCGCTTCTGGCGAACCAGAGCAGTGCACAGAAACGCCGTTTACCTTCCCACCAGAGTGGTACCTATTTATCTACTTGCACTTTGACGTGCTTTCAAACTGCTAGGTTGGCAGGAGCAGGGACCGAGCAACGGGAGCTCACCCCGTCGCGGGGATTCGAACCGCCAACCTTCTGACTGGGAAGTCCTAGGCTCTGTTGTTTAACCCACAGCGCCACCCGCGTCCTTACAGTGACATGTGGGCGTGGCCAAATTTCCATATGAAAAGGGACTTCTGCAGAGGATGTGTGCCTTGGGTGAAGAGGCCCTTAGGTATTATGTGCGAATATCTTTTGCACAACTGGAAAACAATGCTTTAAATTACTCTGCATGGAGCAGTTTGGGATAACTAGTTCTAGCAGTGGCAACATCAACAATGCTCAAAGCAGCAAGGAAGAAGGAGGAGACCCTTAAGGAAATCCACAAGCCCCATCCCTGACTCCCCTCAATTTTGACCAGATCACACACCCTTCTAAAAGCAGTGCCTAAGGGTGTCTGCTCAAGAAGTAAGGGAGACACCCCGCAACATCATCTAAATGCTAAAGGCAATATAGTCGCAAGTTGTAAAAGACTTGGCATATAAAGAGATCCTTTGTTGCAACTTACGACTCATTAGTCCTGTTCATTTTCATGTCTGTGGTTTTCAAACAAGACATCAACATTGGGGTACAGGAGTCCCAAGACCCCATCACAATTACATCAAACTAAGCTCCACTTTAGAGCAGTTATAAATTACCTGATATGTTACAAGCAAAAAACGGCACTGGTTATCTAAAGTTCTGGAAAGGCACTCAGTTCTCAGGTTGAAAGCCTAAAGTCAAAGAAGAAAATACAGTTTTATATACTTCTTAAAAATGATCTCAGGGTCAGGAATCATCAGTCATGCTCATATTTGTGGGTGGGGGTGTTCCAGATGATGGAGCTGCCTTTTTCTTTTTATCAGCAGAGCCCTGTTTCGCTTTAATTTGTGTATCTCAGGAGATATCGTGAACTGGTATGTCTTCTGGTAGTTGATCGCAGGAGAGAGGAAAAGTCCATTTAAAAATGAAAAAGTGTCCGTTTGCATTAACAGGCCAGCACTTTTGCCTGCTTGTAATCGCACACCTGCCTGGTTCGGCTAGTTCCTCCTCATCAGTCTCTCTCTGTTTCTGATTCAAGTTCTTCTGCACTTCCGCAAATTACTTCTGCATTATCTATCACATTTATCACCCACATTTCCTCCAAGGAGCTCAAGGGGGTGTACAGAAGTTCTCCCCTGTTTTACCTTCACTGCGACCCTGTGAGGTGGGTTGGGCTGAGAGTGAGTGACTGTCCCAAGGGACTGTTCCAGTGAGCTTTGTGGCTGTGTCGGGATTTGAACCCTGGTCTCCCAGGTCCTAGAAGGGACGCAGGTGGCGCTGTGAGTTAAACCACAGAGCCTAGGACTTGCCAATCAGAAGGTCGCGGTTCGAATCCCGTTGCTCGGTCCCGGCTTCTGCCAACCTAGCAGTTCGAAAGCGTGTCCAAGTGCAAGTAGATAAATAGGTACCACTCCGGCGAGAAGGTAAACAGTGTTTCCGTGCGCTGCTCTGGTTCGCCAGAAGCGGCTTAGTCATGCTGGCCACATGACCCGGAAGTTGTACACCGGCTCCCTTGGCCAATAAAGCGAGATGAGCGCCGCAACCCCAGAGTTGGCCACGACTGGACCTAATGGTCAGGGGTACTCTACCTTTACCTTCTACTCCCAGGTCCTAGTCCAACACTCTAACCACTACACCACACAGGCTCTCTATGTAGCCCAAACCCAGACACAAGGCTATGAGCAGACTTAGAGTAACTCCAAAGTTTGCAGGCCTTGAAAAAAAGCTTGGGGTGGGAAGAGACCCAAACTGGCCAATAAGGACTCTGATGGGCCGACCAGGAAGTGGAAACTGTAAACCAGGTGGGAGAGGGAAGAAAATGGAGTGGCTAGAAAGGAATGAAGAAAGAGACACGTAGATATAAAATAGGTTTGGAGAACCATCTTATTCTGTGGATAGGTCATGTCCTGTTTACACTGAGAAGTTATTTTTAAGTGTCCCCAGGGACAGAAGTAACAGTGCTGAAATAAATGGTTGAAATAAATAATGTGGACCACCCAAAATCAAAAAGGTACTGTATTTTTCTTTTTTTATAAATAATTTTATTGAATGATTTTATGTTGCAAAAAACAATACAGCCATACTACCACTAAATATAATTACGAAATAAAAATTACATACATCAATATTTAGTTTGTTACTTGTTATTTACCATCTTATTTCCTCCCAAACATTGCATACAAAAACACACATATGTGCAGACACCCACACACCCACACCGGCACACAAAATGATAATAATGAAAGTAAATATTTTTCCCCCTTTTATCTTCCAAAATCTTTTCTTCATTTCTTCAACTTTGACTTCCTGTCAAGTCCCTCTGCATATATAAGGTACTGTATTTTTCTGTGTATAACACGCCCCCATGTATAAGACGCTCCCTATTTTGGGGGAATCCAAATTAAGAAAAATGGGGGGGAGATTGGCCCAGAGTTGTTGAGCTTCTTTTTTGGGGGGATGGCCCAGGCTTGGTGAGCTTTTCGGGGAGGGGAATTGCTGAAAATCGCTCACCCGCCTGACCTACGCTGCCACTCACATGCGTCGCAATAGCCACCTATCCTCTGTTCCCACACCAGCGCCAATCAACTGCCCTATTGCCGCAGCGACAGCCTATCAACACCAGCCCTTGCCGCAGCCACCAATAACACACCACATAGCCGCTGACAATCTCTGGCTCGTGGCAGCAACCAACCCCACGTCCCCCCTATGCACTATTATTGTAGAAGACGAACCCCAATTTTTTACATAATTTTTTAGTAAAAAAACCCCCAACCCTCATCTTATACACGGAAAAGTACGGTAACTAGTGAAATACCGGTGCTTGTATTTTTCTTTGGCAATACGAGGTGACCTTGCTGGTCATCATTTGTTTTCGTTTAAAGGGGTGGGGCTATGAGGGAGGGGTGTGGTCTAAGGAGGAGAGGGAGGGGCTAAAGGCCGCCTGAGAACCTGCTCCTGATTCAGACTTGCAGCCAAAGCTCCTCAAATCTCATCTCTGGAGAGTGTTTCCAGTGGGACTCTCTTCTCCAAAACTGGGGCATGTCTTCACCCTAAAATCTGTTGTCCCTTTAGACAAGATTGAAAGATTGATGGGCCTTTTGATGGCTGCTAAGGGGACTTGCGGTTGCTGGCTTTCTTTGTAAGAGTGCCCTCCTTCCCTTCACACCTATTCTTAATGTAATTACATTAAATAGGTAGAAGAAAGTTTGCCTTCCCCCTCCTCCCCATTGAGATTATTACTTTTCAATCTGCGTTAACATGATCTTACAGCTGACTGAGCACTCCCCTCTGACCTTTCTTGCCTTGGGAACAGCGCCCGCCTTAATTGACAGTTGGGATCGTGAGCTCTGCTGAAGGGAGATTAGCAGTGGCTTAGCTAATTAGTATTTAAATGTTTGCTAATGTTGCAATGGGCTTGCCAATGGCAAGCTTATTAAAAACTGATCCAAAGGTTTTTTCCCCCTTAGTTTTACAGAAAGGGAAAAGAAGCCTTTTTTAAAAAATAAAAGAGAAACGTCCAATTACATTTCTTTTGATTACATCACCCTACATGGAACAGCAGGAGCTTTGAAATTTTTTATTATTTCTTTGTTTGGTTATTAAATTTATATGCCGCTCTTTATCCAGGGATCATAGGGCAGTTTACAGTATGTTGAAGGGTATGGAGTTATCCAAACCCTGAGAAATCTGAAGGCAGCGCTGAATAGGGAAGTTTTTTAATGTTTATTGTTTTATTTTGTTTTATATCTGTTGGAAGCCACACAGAGTGGCAACCCACACAGCTGGGTGGGGTATAAATAGTAAAGGTCTTATGATGATGATGATGATGATGGAATAAGATGTCTCTTTTTTCATCAGAGAAATGTTGGAGGGTAACGGTAAAGGTAAAGGTAAAGGTAAAGGTAAAGGGACCCCTGACCATTAGGTCCAGTCGTGGCCGACTCTGGGGTTGTGGCGCTCATCTCGCTTTACTGGCCGAGGGAGCCGGCGTTTTTCTGCAGACATGGTCATGTGGCCAGCATGACAAAGCCGCTTCTGGCGAATCAGAGCAGCACACAGAAACACCGTTTACCTTCCCGCCAGAGCGGTACCTATTTATCTACTTGCACTTTGACGTGCTTTCGAACTGCTAGGTGGGCAGGAGCAGGGACCGAGCAACGGGAGCTCACCCCGTCGCGGGGATTCAAACCGCCGACCTTCTGATCGGCAAGTCCTAGGCTCTGTGGTTTAACCCACAGTGCCTGTGCATATAGACCTCTATGCAATAGGGAACCTGCATGATGGGTCTGTAGGCTTTCCACAAGTGGACATTGGAGGGTGGGGAGGGCCTGGCGTCCCAGGAGGGAAAGGGGCAAAGTGGTTGGGAGGCCAGAACTGTGCAGGCGCACCACCACTTTCCCCATCCCCGCTGCCTTGCCCCTCCCCATCTTGGTGACAGTAGTGATGACATTGGCAGGAAACCAGCATTTGAGATCCACCACACCGGCGAAACCACTTCTGCACTTCTCTCTTTATCTGTTCTAGAATAAAGGGGTTCCTGCTCAGAATGTTGCTTCTCCTGTTATTAGCATTGCTTCTGATTGGCTCCATCCAATCCCGCAAGGTCTGGGGATTTCTACAGATATACATGGGGGTGGGGGGTGGGAGTTTTGACGCTGGGTAAAAATGTGGCTGGTCATCCAAGCTTTAGACTAAGCAGCATTCATTGCCACCTTGGCATAGTTATGTTCTCAGTATAGTCTTAATGTTTATTGAAGTTGCATGTAAACGGACTATTGTTTTATTGTATTTTAATGTTTCCAGCTCTGGGGTTGTGTGAGCAATCAAGAGTGGATTAGAAATACTTTATATATTTTATAAACCCAGTATACCTGAAGGAGCGTCTCCACCCCCATCATTCTGCCCGGACACTGAGGTCCAGCTCTGAGGGCCTTCTGGTGGTTCCCTCACTGTGAGAAGCCAAGTTATAGGGAACCAGGCAGAGGGCCTTCTCGGTAGTGGCACCCGCCCTGCAGAACGCCCTCCCATCAGATGTCAAAGAGAACAACAACTACCAGACTTTAGAAGACATCTGAAGGCAGCTCTGTTTAGGGAAGCTTTTAATGTTTGATGGATTACTGTATTTTAGTATTTTGTTGGAAGCCACCCAGAGTGGCTGGGGAAGCCCAGCCAGATGCCTGGGGTATAAATAATAATAACAATAATAATAATAATAATAATAATAATAATAATATAATTATTATTATTGAATAAATATTCATTAAACACATAAATATTTGAGTGAATAAATATTATTTTAGCAGTATCTAAAGAAATGCCATTTCTTGATAAAATAAATATATTATTTCACTAACTCTCCTCATATTTCTATTTTCTCTACGTATCATAATATTTGTCTGTTTAACTCATAATTTCAATCACTAGTCATACAAAGAAGGCAGTTTTATCATCAGTTTGTGATGTTAAACCACACACACACACAACTTCCACATCCTCAGGTGAAACCTCACCCTTTATAAACCCTAATAAGATAACTAGTGAATCGAATGGCAGGTCAATACTGATAATTTTATTGATTTCAAACTGGAATCTATTTAAATGCATCTGACACTACTGGAACCATTTATAATAGGAATAAACACATCTGAACCCTGGAAAGCTCACCTGGTTAGAGTGTGGTGCTGATGATGCCAAGGTTGCAGGTTCAATCCTTGTATGGGGCAGCTGAATATTCTTGCATTGCAGGAGGTTGGACTAGATGATCCTCAGGGTCCCTTCCAGCTCTTCAACTCTATGAATCTATGAACCAATCTGGCCAGTCTGGGCCAGCTTGGAGCAATCTAATCATTAGCTTTGAAGAGTCATGAGAGATTTACTGATGAGACTGTTTGTTGTTGTTGTTTAGTCGTTTAGTCGTTTCCGACTCTTCGTGACCCCATGGACCAGAGCACGCCAGGCACTCCTGTCTTCCACTGCCTCCCGCAGTTTGGTCAAACTCATGCTGGTAGCTTCGAGAACACTGTCCAACCATCTCGTCCTCTGTCGTCCCCTTCTCCTTGTGCCCTCCATCTTTCCCAACATCAGGGTCTTTTCCAGGGAGTCTTCTCTTCTCATGAGGTGGCCAAAGTCTTGGAGTCTCAGCTTCACGATCTGTCCTTCCAGTGAGCACTCAGGGCTGATTTCCTTCAGAATGGAGATGTTTGATCTTCTTGCAGTCCATGGGACTCTCAAGAGTCTCCTCCAGCACCATAATTCAAAAGCATCAATTCTTTGGCGATCAGCCTTCTTTATGGTCCAGCTCTCACTTCCATACATCACTACTGGGAAAACCATGGCTTTAATTATACGGACCTTTGTTGGCAAGGTGATGTCTCTGCTTTTTAAGACGCTGTCTAGGTTGTCATTGCTTTTCTCCCAAGAAGCAGGCGTCTTTTAATTTCGTGGCTGCTGTCACCATCTGCAGTGATCATGGAGCCCAAGAAAGTAAAATCTCTCACTGCCTCCATTTCTTCCCCTTCTATTTGCCAGGAGGTGATGGGACCAGTGGCCATGATCTTCGTTTTTTTGATGTTGAGCTTCAGACCATATTTTGCGCGATGAGACTGTTTAGGGAAGCTTTTAATGTTTAATAGACTATTGTATTTTAATATTCTGTTGGAAGCTGCCCGGAGTGGCTGGGGAAACCCAGCCAGATGGGCAGGGTATAAATAATAAATTTATTATTATTATTATTATTATTATTATTATTATTATTATTACTATTGACGCACAGAGAGAGAGCATTGCAATTCATTGTGTCATTCTGTTAAGTGTGGCTTGTTAGTGGAAGGCCAGCCACTCTGGAGCCCACAGAACAGTAGAACTAAAAACGTGGTCTGTGATGTCCCATCATCTGGTGATAGCTGGATTTTTATTCCCAAAAGGCATCAGTAAACTTTATAACTACTGGACTAGACTGTTGCAGCTGAATGTCTGCTACTGCCCTCTAGTGGACGGAACTGATGCATGTATTAGCTTTTGAAGAGGGTCTGTATTTGCTTCTGCCAAAGCAGCATGATATATAACAACGCTGAGCTCTCTGTCGAGTGAAGTTATTTCAGAGAGCAAGCAAACAAAGTGCCTCTGAAAGAGCAGGAAAGAACAAGAGTCAAGGCGGGGGTGCTTCTATTCAACATCCTATAGCCTTACTTTTAGGAGATAGGAGTTGACTGTCATGGCTTTCTCACTCAGGAAATCAAAGTACTTCTTGATGGCAGTGCACTATCAGTGTACTGTGAGATTCCTATGGGTGAATCTCATATGGGTTACATTCTGGGGACAGCATATACAGCCACATCACATATAGTAAGCACATTGGGTTCAATGGCAGGTGGGATTACCAAAGTCTTTCTTCCCAGATGCCCATCCCTTTTGCCCCCGTTTTAATTATCTTTTGACAAGTGCATAAAGCCGAATGTGTGCAAGTTTAAATGCATGAAAGTTACCTGTATCTGCATTTTAAGCAAAAAAAAGTCAGTGCCTTCTGATCTGAATTAAAGTCTGTGTCATAATGGCAGAATTAGAGATTGGTAGCAGAGCAAGGGCCCAAGCTCTGGCATAGTTGGACAGAATTGGCTGCCTCGCAGTGTTTCACTGTTGGGCTGAGCCTGTCTTGGGAACCCTGATTTGGGCTGGATCTGCACACAGGGGGAAAAACACACTATAAGAAAACCAGAAATTAGATTTATATAACAAAAAAAAAACCCTATGGAAAAAGCATATAAAAAATTCTTGCTCTCTGGCGCCATCTGGTGTTGCATGTTTATAGTGCATGCAAATCGTTTCTTTACTAATGTTGCTGAGTCCCAGATGTACCTGTAATTATAGAAGTGCCTCACCAAGTGCAGAAAATGACATTGTTGTTGCCTGGGACATTTATTTGACCCAGATCCCTTCTGGTTTGCATGGTCAAAGTTGTAAGCCATCATCAGAGGCAGATTTCGGGCAGCGCAATTTGTTCTGCCACACTCGGTGCCGAGCCTAGGGGGCGCTGCAGGGCGTCACAACTATGACATAGTGAACTGAGCACAACGGAAGGTGAGAGGCGGGAGGCACCGAATTTTGGCCTTGCACAGGGCGCCGCTGAAATTTGAAATATCAAAGTTCGTCCCTGCCATTATCAAGGGGGAGGAAATAGGCTCAAACTGATAAGTCTTCCGAAGGCTTCTAAGGAGTTTGGAAAACCAATGACAAAGAAAAGACATTGCCTGTATGAACCAATATTTATGTAAAATATGTTATTGAGGGCTAGAAACCTGCTTTTTTAAACATGAAAGCTGACCATCAGTACATTCCATGCTTCTTGTGCAATGTCACAGAATCATATAAAATGCAAGGGCCCAGCTATGTGACATGTTTTTGTTTGTTTGTTTGAAAATCAGTCCTCGAGCAGAGACCTTTGTACAGTGGTGCCCCGCAAGACGAATGCCTCGCAAGACGGAAAACCCGCTAGACAAAAGGGTTTTCTGTTTTTGAGTTGCTTCGCAGGACGAATTTCCCTATGGGCTTGCTTCGCAAGACGAAAATGTCTTGCGAGTCTTGAGATTTTTTTTCGCTCCCCCCCCCTTTTCTAAGCCGCTAAGCCGCTAATAGCCTTTTAGCAGCTAATCCGCTAAGCCGATAAGCCTTTAATAGCCGCTAAACCGCTAATAGCGCTAATCCGCTAAGCCGCTAATAGGGTTGCTTCGCAAGACGAAAAAACTGCTAGACGAAGACACTCGCGGAACGGATTAATTTCGTCTTGCGAGGCACCACTGTAATGGAATTCCTTATCTAAGACTAATGAAGGTCTGCAAAAAGAACGAGCAATTGCAGAAAAGACATAGTGTACCTGGTGGAAACATTTTATCAGTCTCCAGGTTAAGGGCCAAACTATTATGCTGGAGATCTTATTCATCTCTCAAATTAAAGCAACAATAAATTGCAGCCATGGAAATGGGGTGCTAATTTGATTGGGGAAATGGTTCAGGGACTGGGATGTTTAACTCTTTCCCCTCTGCCATTTTCCCACTTCAAATATTTCCCCTCAAGCTGCAAATTTCAATGAAATAGCAGCTGGAGGAGGTGACGGTTTAGCTTGAGGGAGATGGCGCACAGGGAAAGGGTTAAATCTCCTCAGCCTCTGTGCTATGCCCCTGGTCAAATTAGCAGCATCACAGTTGAATTTCCTTTTAAAAAAATAATAATTAGGAGATCAGTCATGGATCTCCCAGCATAACATACCATCTGGCTCCAACACTTGCCGTTTTGCCCATTTTGAGTGAAAATCCTGGTATGCCTAACGCATTATCTGTGTGTGTGTGTGTGTGTGTGTGTGTGTGTGTGTGTGTGTACAAAGTTCAAAGTGCCAAACGAAGGTAGTGTCAGCCTGATGAAACTTGGTGGCACTGAAAGCTCCTAAAGGGTGCCATTATTTTAGATAATTTCAGCTCGATTTTCTGCTTCGTTGAAGGCACAAGGAAGCTCTCCACCCGTTAAATGTTTTGCACAGCCAAGTGTTAAATCGCTTCATATCAGAGCTGAACCTCAACCTCATCACCCTTAATCTTTCTGATTGGTTACGTCTTTGCTTTCTGTCTGAAGGCTGAGAATCCGAGCGCCAACAATCAGCACATCAAGCTGTTCTGGTCTTGGAAGAACAGCCGTCCCATTCAGAAAGAACTCATTCACATTTGTGTTTCTCAAGGATGGACTCTCAACCTGAATATACGCCATGCTGATTCACATTTGTGGCTGTCCTCACCTGAGGAGGAGCCAATGGAGAGTCGGTGGACAGGATGAACTAGGGGTGGCTGAGAAATCTGATTTCAAGGCAAGGCTACCTCAGTCACACTTCCTGAAACAATACGCGAAGCAAAACACAACCTTTCTACCAAATTCACGCTACCCTGAATTTTGCAGTTCTGCAGCGAAGCAATGCATATGGAAATGCATTAACAAGAAATGGATATAATGGTGAAAACAGCGCACAAAAATGTGGGGGGAAATTGTTTTGCAAAAATGTGTAATCAGTCAAATAAATTCATACAAGAATGAGAAATTTATTATTATTATGAGAATATTATTAAATATTATTGTGATGATTTTATTAAATTATTATGAGAAATTTGCACTAAAATGTTAACAGATTTTTATGAGGGCTTAAAAAATACAATCTCAAACTGATGTAGAAATTTTGGAGTGGAACTTAAGATTGGTAAAATGAGAATGTGAGGGAAACCGAAAGTGTCAGCTTTGCCTATCCTAGGCTGAACGCATGTAGGCTGACTGAATGTGCGGAGGCACCAATTCAGATGTGCCTGAGCCACTTCTCAAATGGTGCTCAGTCAGGCCCTGCTAGGCCTAAGGAACCACCGAATTCAGCAAACATAGCCGTGGTGGCCTAAAATGGATGGCAGCAACAGAAAAGTCCAGCACTGTGTAACTGGTGTCTTTTGCTGAAGTCAGGTGACAAGCAGTATGAGACCATGGCAGCTTAAGATAAGAGAGGCTGAGAAGATCGCCGTTGAGCAGCATGGCAGGTGGTGAAAAAAAATCACACACTTGGGGTTTCCCCCCCCCCCCCAAAAGATGCTGCTATGAAATGTGTCTATGTGACTTGGGCAAGTTACCCAAAAGTGGAAGGTGATGGCAATTTGCAGGGGCACTGAGTACCCTTCCCCAAGGAAGATTCTGGTGTCCACCTCTGGACCCAGTTCCAGAATGGCATAAAGGTGTCGACCCACCTGTCTCTTTGCTTTTCATTAAGAAGGTGGCACATCAGTGTGTTTTTTGCATTACCTGAGACGAAACGTATTCTACTTGTATATTGTTCCTTTACAAATGAATGCAAGCATCTGAACTAGATACAGAAGTACAGTGGTACCACGGGTTAAGTACTTAATTCGTTCCGGAGGTCTGTTCTTAACCTGAAACTGTTCTTAACCTGAGGTACCACTTTAGCTAATGGGGCCTCCCACTGCTGACACCGCACGATTTCTGTTCTCATCCCGAAGCAAAGTTCTTAACCCGAAGTACTATTTCTGGGTTAGTGGAGTCTGTAAACTGAAGCGTCTGTAACCTGAAGTGACTGTAACCCGAGGTACCACTGTAGTGTCACTAAGTTCCCCATCTGCACTGTATATTTAAAGCAGCATCGTACCACTTTAATCTGTCATGACATCGCCCAAGGACTCTTGGGAGCTGTAGTTTGTTAAGGGCGATGCCTGTCCCTGCCTATTATCTCAAGCTTATTTTTTTAAAAAAATACTCAGGTGTTTTCAAAATCCTGATGGAGCGCACAGGAACCTGATAATTGGAATGACTGACCACTCCACCTTTAAAAAACAACAACACATTTTTGAAATAAGCAAAATTTAAAGGCGGCTATCGTGAAACTCCCTGAAACTCGACCTCTCTGCAGGGGCTGCCATGTCCCCAGACTTCATGTCGTCATGTGAGGGGAAAACAAAAATGTTTTGTTAATTTTAAAACATAAAGGTGACTAGCACAAAAACCCCTGGAGCTACCCATCTGAAATTTGGTAGCGTTAATCCATTCTGAAGAAGTGACCAAGTCTCTAAACTCCTGTGTGGAAAAAGGAGAAAGGTGTTGCCATTTTGGTTTTGCGATGAGAGTCAATAGGATTTCTGGAGATTTGTAATTTGGCTCCAGGGTGAGTCAAAATGGGTCCGGATTGGTCCCATCCAGATTGGGTCCAATCCCAGATTTCCAAATGGGACCATAAAATTGGATTGGGGGGGGGGTCAGTGCAAATATACTGAAAACGGGCAGTATTCCTCCTCCTGCCGGATTTCCCTGTTATGCCTGAGGAATAAAAAAAACTTTTATGGCATTACGACAGCATTGATGACAAGAGTAATAATGCTCACAGTAATTAGGACAAGCAGGGATTCCATTTCCATTACACGAACCAATCGATTCCGGGCTTTAATGTCTCTCTCTTCTCTTTCTAAAAAAGTCCACGCTGGAGCTAAATCTTAAAACTAATTTTTTTAAAAAAGTAGTTAACAGGATCTTTGGAAGCAACATGGAATTTTAAAATCGAATCTGTAATTTTACAAATGAAACTAATGTGATTTATATATCATACACTTCCATTAAAACTGGGATGTCGTTTGGTCATGTCATCTCAGTCACATATAATAAAAGAATATATGCACCAGGGATGCAGTTGCTTCTAAGGAACTTCCTTTAATTAGTTTATTTTGGGGGGGACAACTCCTTGACCTGGAGGCTGGATTGTGTTGCCATGGCCTTCCGTGGGGGGCTACAAAATGACAGGGCCTTTCCTTGCCTATACTGAACAAGTCCTTGACTGTCACCAGAGCACCAGAATTAGCCATGAGGTGGAGTTCCTCTTGGTCCAGACTGCGAAAGACAAGGCCTCAAAATGCAGAAGAGTGTTTCTTTGCAGCAGGGGTCAGGACCAAGGCTAGCTCCGCCCAGTGCGATCCAATCCTAAATGTCCAGCATGGATCCCTAACTTTCAAATAGGAAAAAGTGGATTGACAATGACAAGGCCTGGAGGGATCCTGAGCACTTGATTCTGTAAGCTCATTCTTGAACCAGAACTAGAATTCTGATATCCGTTTAGACTGCCAATGTGTCTGGCCCTGTTGTAATGCTTGATGTATTATTGTATTTTTAATATTCTGTTGGGAGCCGCCCAGAGTGGGGTACTACTACTACTACTACTACTACTACTAATAATAATAATAATAATAATGTATCCTACAGTTTACCCATATCCTGATGTCACAAAGTTGCATGTTTCCCAGTTCCCATTCCACATCCTTCACTCCTGTTGGCGGAGTTTGGAGTGTGGAAACACACGGTCTACTGGATGCACAGCTTCTGAGGTCACCACTGCATGGAGTTCTGGCCTCAAGGTTTTCTTTTTATATATATAATATTTTATTAAGTTTCCATTTTATAACATTTAAATCCATCCTTGTTCTTCACAGTAGTTTTTGCTCTTACGAGCTGTTTGACTTCCCTCCCTCCCGCCTCATGGTTACCATATTGCCTTTCTATGTCATAGCTTTTGTATCTTTTCCTGCTTATCTTTCTTCAATTCAACTGTCAAATTTTTAAATAAATATAAGAAGGTATAAGTCATAGTCATTACATAGTCATTTTTAAATGAGTCCTGTTAGGGTTGTTAAATGTTTGCAATTGTCCTTCAAATATTGTACAAATTTACCCCCGTCTTTTTGGAAAGCTTGATCACGCTGCTTTCGGATTTTCCCAGTCAGCTTTGCCAATTCTGTATATTCCATCATCTTCTTCTGCCACTCTTCAATTGTTGGTAATTCCTGTTGTTTCCATTTTGGGGCTAAAAGAGTCCTTGCTGCTGTAGTTGCATAAATAAATTTGAGCACAGAGTCTCAGGGCGCTGCAAGGGATGCCACAAACTTTAGAATGGAGTGTGACAGGTGGGGGCACTCAATTTTGGTGTCGCCCGGGGCACTGCTGAAATTTGAAACTCCAAGGTCTGTCACTGACCAGGACAACAGATCCAGCCTCCAATAAATGCATCACCCACTCCTTTTGCTGCTGCCAGGGTGAATGTGGGATGTTCAGTGCCATGAGCCTTATTTGCCCATGTGTTTCACAGAGTGTTTTGATTGGCATGGAGGAATGGATGTTAGCAACATCTGAAGGCATGCAAAGATGACAGCTATCACCCGACTCCAGCTGCTTAGTTCTGCCAGACAATATAGGAGATAAAAAATAATGGGGAAAAAGAAAGAAATTAACATACAATAATCCTTTTTTTCTTTTGCTTTTTTGCTGGGACACGGGTGGCACTGTGGTCTAAACCACTGAGCCTCTTGGGCTTGCCGATCAGAAGATTGGCGGTTCGAATCCCCACGATGGGGTGAGCTCCCATTGCTCGGTCCCTGCTTCTGCCAACCTAGCAGTTTGAAAGCACGAAGTGCAAGTATATAAATAGGTACCGCTCCAGCAGGAAGATAAACAGCATTTCCATGCGCTGCTCTGGTTTCAGTGTTCCGTTACGCCAGAAGCGGCTTAGTCATGCTGGCCACATGACCTGGAAAAACTGTCTGCGGACAAACGCTGGCTCCCTCGGCCTGTAAAGCGAGATGAGCATCGCAACCCCAGAGTCGTCTGCGACTGGACTTAACTGTCAGGAGTCCTTTACCATTTTAATCCTATTTTTAATTGCAAACATTAGAATTTTGGCGCATCTGAGCCAGGGCTCATTACTAAAATTGCAAACTGGCAAAATTCATATTACAGACCAGCTAATGGTAAGTTTTGGTCACAGGAGGTTTCTGGTATGTGCTACTTCTGGTGGGTCACAAGGTGGGCAGGCATAATTGTGACCTAACACGCAGCAATGGCGCGTCAAAGATAATATTACAACTCCTCCCACCCCCGTCCTGAATGCAATGCTAAATCTCCTGTCATGCGTGGAATGTAATTACCATTAAGGTTGAAAAACGAGAGAGATGAGCAGCAGTGGCAGTTTTTCTCAGGTTTATGTAAACACGGCCTCCAAGGAGGAGGCTGGAATGCTAGAATCAAAGGGCCCCTGTCACATCAGCCCTCTAAATCTCTAAGCGGCTGCCTTGGAATCATCTGGCCTCGGTGAACACAGGGAGCCGATAAAAGCCTTGGCTGAAGCCAGCGCCAATCTGCTAATTTAAGAGGGAGATGGCCCTATAGTCGCTGTCCCTCAGAAAGTAGCAATTTTGGCACTTTTGTTCCTGGAAGAAAAAAAAGATTTGCTGGTTTAAAGGAACAACAAATGGCCAGGAAAGAGGCAGGAATCATTCCTTGGATAGTTAATACAGGCTGGGAGGCCACCTTTAGCTCTGATGTTGTGAAGACACAATAGATATTTATGGTTGACTTTAAGTCAAAGTTAAAGGGCAAGTTCACTTGCGACATTCAGGGATACATTTGAGCTCCATTTTGGGGAGTTGCTAATGACTTGTGGGACTTTTTATCCCCAGATGCATCAACAGGTGCCTCTGATATGTCCAATGAGGCCAGAATTAAGCCAGGATGGTGGAGGAGCAGCAGTTACAGGACATCACACAGGGGCGGATTTTTAATCTTTCGTATTACGACACTCCGTGTGAGGCCAAAATTTGGCCCCCCTCAAGGATCTGCTCAGTTATGGATCTTCTTGATTTTCTGCCCCCTCAGCTCAGTGTCCTGTGGGGTGGGGTACAGACCGCAGCGCCCTAAATCCAGTGCTCCACACTATTTTTTTGCATTTTCAACCTTCTTCAGACCACATGCCAGTGTTGGGCAGGGTAAGAACAAAAGTGGTTGGCGCAACTAATGTACATTTTACCTTTGCAGAGTAGTCTAGTGTCAGGAGCGGGTCTCAGAAGCAGGTCAGTGAACTCTTTATTTCAGGCTGACTCAGGAAGCCAGGCCTAATAAGCACAGCAACCTTTCACAGTAGATCATGAGTAGGCAAACTAAGGCCTGGGGGCCGGATCTGGCCCAATTGCCTTCTCAATCCGGCCCGCGGACAGTCCGGGAATCAGAGTGTTTTTATATGAGTAGGATGTGTCCTTTTATGTAAAATGAATCTCTGGGTTATTTGTGGGGCATAGGAATTTGTTCATTCCCCCCCCCCAAAAAAAATTATATAGTCTGGCCACCCACAAGGTCTGAGGGACAGTGGACCGGCCCCCTGCTGAAAAAGTTTGCTGACCCCAGCAGTACTGTAGATCATGCTTCTATGCAGCAGTTGTGGGGACTGAAGGCCCCCGCTTTCCCACAGTTGCCTAAGCTTCCTTCTCCCCCAGATCTGAGACTCTGTCGCCATGCCTGTCTTTGCTCCACCTTCTTCATACCTCTTCTGGTTCTGGGAGATCAGCAGAAGGAGGTGCAAGGAGAGTCCTGAAAGCCAGAGAGAGAGCATTGAAGGGCTGCACTTGGCCCCCAAGGCCTGAGTCACCCCGCCCCTGTGGGAAGGAATACCATTGGCTGCCTCCTTCTTTGGCAGCTCCTCCCTCTCGTCACCCACCATCTGGGCACGCTCAGAATTAGACCTTCTGCTCTCGTCTTTCTCTCTATCAAAATAGACTGCTGAGGTGTGCCAGGAGATCTGTGCGTGAGCATCAAGAGTCCTGGATCAGTTTTAGCCCAGTTGTGTGGAAGAGCCCGTCAGGCTGGGACTAAGGTGCAGAGTTGCTATGAGGGGCCTGAACCCCCAGAAGTCAGCTTGGCATGTTTGCTTGCTTTTTGGCAGCTGGGCAAAGAGGTTAAGAGGGAGCTGTGGGCCTGTAGCCGCATCTCAGCTCTAAACTCAGGAGATATCATAGTTCAGTCCTTCTCAGCCTCTGAACCTGAGGTCTCCTCAAATGAGGAGCAAGGGGAGTAGGACCTTCCAGTGGATAATAATAATAATAATTTATTATTTATACCCCGCCCATCTGGCTTGGCTTCCCCAGCCACTCTGGGCAGCTTTCAACAGAATATTAAAATGCAATAGTCTATTAAACATTAAAAGCTTCCCTAAACAGGGCTGCCTTCAGATGTCTTCTAAAAGTCTGGTAGTTGTTTTTCTCTTTGACATCTGGTGGGAGGGCGTTCCACAGGGCGGGTGCCACTACCGAGAAGGCCCTCTGCCTGGTTCTCTGTAACTTGGCTTCTCACAGCGAGGGAACTGCCAGAAGGCCCTCAGCGCTGGACCTCAGTGTCCGGGTAGAGACGCTCCTTCAGGTATACTGGACTGAGTCCGTTGCCAATGATCCTGAGAAGCCATCGGATCTGGACACCTCTGCCCCAGGACAGGACACCCCTGTAATGTCTATGGCAGAGCCATTCCTTGATCCAGAGCAGGATTTCAGAACGTTCTGGCCTAAAGCTAGAAGAGTCCATCTCAAGACTTAGAATTCTGAAAGGAAGAACACTGGTCTACATGCAAGGGAAGGAGCCCAAAGCAAACCTCTTCCTTGAATAACCATAGCCTCACTAAAGCTTCTTATTTCTAAGAGACCCAGTCATCTGAACTTGACAATCCTCACACCACTAGCCTGGCTTCCTGAGTGGCTCTCGTCTCTCCCAGGCACACAGCTGAGATGCTTCAGAGCTCCTGCCCAAGTGGTCACTGCTCCCAGGAGACTACTCAGGAGATGAGGGACGGCATGGGAACACCTTGGGCCTGAATGAGAGCTAGGAAGGTAGAGAGCCTGGTCCAGCTCCTGTGTAAGCTCCCAGTGTGACCAGCTTTATGACTGAAGCAACAGCACCATCCAAGCTCCAGATTTTCAGACTTGGGGACATGGACAGTAAAGTGCTTTTTGTTGCTTCAGTCACACATCTTCAGAATGTAAATAGTAATACTACTGGCCTACCTTGCAAAAATATTGTGAAGATTATTGACATCTTTTACAGCAGGCATGGCCAAACTTGGCGCTCCAGCTGTTTTGGGACTACAATTCCCACCATCCCTGACCACTGGTCCTGTTAGCTAGGGATGATGGGAGTTGTAGTCCCAAAACAGCTGGAGGGCCAAGTTTGGCCATGCCTGTTTTACAGCATCTCACATCTGTTTTTGGATATACACCTCTTCCATTTATTGAGATGACACATGGAAATCTGTTAATCATTGAACTGTGGTATATAAAGTTGGTGTTTTCTGTTTGGATTGCAGGGGGGAGGTTGTTTTGGTTTTTGCTATAGTACTTTCCACAGTCAAACAGATAAGCTGCAGCTTAGTTTGAAAAGTGGCTTGCCTCTTCAGCAATCGGATTATTATTATTTTGGTCCAAAACAGGAAGCAATACTCTTGCTACGCACATCATTATATTGTATGTGCACATGCCCTTTCTTGAGATCTTGGCCATAACCACTGAAGCCAAACAAAATACTTGCAAGGAATTATCAAAATCAACATCTAAGTTGGTTGAAGATCTTCAGACTCATTCACAAGAGGTGTAACATGATGTTGATCAATAAGAACATTGCATCTAGCTTCTAAGTTATGCCCTTCTCCTCAGCCCTATGTCTTAGCTTATTCTAGGGAAGGGTGGGAGAGATTAGGTGCCTTCTAAACTGATTCAATTTTTATTAAAAATTTAGTTGGGATAAATGTATTAATGTAGGCTTGTAACACTCAAGTAGAGTAAAAATACCCCCGGGGCAGGAATTCTTCAGGAGAAGTGAGACAAAAATTGAATACTTTGGAGAGGGTGAGAATGTTCTTGTGTGTAGAAACCCTTTTTGCAATGTCACACAGCTAAACAGGACTTTTATCAAAGTGTACTGGCGATAAAAGCCTGGGATGGAAGAAGATATAAATGAAAAAACAAAGACTCGGAGAAAGGAGTCCCAGCTAATGAAGAGTAATGTCTTTGTTGATTAATTTTACTTCAGATGTATTTGGGGCTGCAATTAAGAGAGAGGATTTTTACTTCCTGCTAGCCTTTAGCTTCCTATCAGGAGTCTGTTTATTACTGATAAGTTCTCAAAAATTGCTGCAATGGTGGCCAAGACAGGCTGGTCGGGAGGGAGGCGGGAGAGAGTGAGGAGACAGGCAGAGTTGGAAAACAAAAATTCCTCAGAGCTTTCATCCTCACTGGAGCGCTTTTGCTTTTCGACTCCAGATGAGGCCTGTGAAAAAGGAGTTCCATTTTATGGCTCTCCAAAGTATCAGAAAACAACAGGGAGTCAGTCTGGTGAGATCTATCCTTCTTTCCTTTCCTCAAGAACTGATTAAATTGTTTAAAATATACCTTGGTATTTCGTTCAGTTTAAAACAAGTAATTTGTAATGTTACTTGTCTGGATAAAATCTAAATTGTATCCAGTGGAACTGGATGATGGGGGAGAAGGATGGTGCATAATAATGATGAAATCTACCACGTTTTCTCATCTAGTGACCCAGAAAGCCAAATATAGCCCACCACCCATGTACAAATGGCCTACCAAGGGCTCCTGAGCCCTCTCATTTTTGCTGACTGCCCAGGACTGCTGAAACAAGGGGTTTTCAAACCACCTGGTAGGTCACTATATCTGGTTCATGGACTAGATGTGTTGTGGGACGCAAGTTAAACTTAAGAACATAAGAAGAGCCCAGGATCAGGCCAAGGGCCCATTTAGTCCAGCATCCTGTTCTACCACAATGGAACTACCGCCTTGGAAAAGCGTAGCAGCACAACACTTGCCACACTTGTGTTTCCCAGCAAATGGTAAACAGAGGTAGACTGTTTATTACGGTGGAAGCAGAACATAAGCACAGTGGGTAGCAGCCATCAATGGCCTTTGGTCGAGGTCTCCTTTAAAGCCATCCAAGTTGATGGACATCACTGCATCCCATGGAAGTGAGTTCTGTTGTTTAACTATGAGCAGTGTGAAGAAGTGCTTTCTTTTGTCTCACCTGACTCTTCCAACATTGAGCTTCATTGAATGTCCCCGAGTTGTAGTATTATGAGACAGGCCTAACCACTTTCCAGACACTCCAAGTGTCCCTATTTCCAGGGACAGTCCCAAATTTACAGAAGTCACCCTGGTTTCTGATTTGATCCTGGACTGTCCCACTTTTCCTTAGGAAAATGTTGGGGAAATGTTGGAGGGTATGGAGTTATGCTACCCTGAGCCAGGGAGATAAATAACTATAAAATATTTAGAAGGCATCTGAAGGCAGCCCTGTATGTTGTTGTTTAGTCGTTTAGTCGTGTCCGACTCTTCGTGACCCCATGGACCAGAGCACACCAGGCACTTCTGTCTTCCACTGCCTCCCGCAGTTTAGTCAAACTCATGCTGGTAGCTTCGAGAACACTATCCAACCATCTCGTCCTCTATTGTCCCCTTCTCCTTGTGCCCTCCATCTTTCCCAACATCAGGGTCTTTTCCAGGGAGTCTTCTCTTCTCATGAGGTGGCCAAAGTATTGGAGTCTCAGCTTCAGGATCTGTCCTTCCAGTGAGCACTCAGGGCTGATTTCTTTAAGAATGGATAGGTTTGATCTTCTTGCAGTCCATGGGACTCTCAAGAGTCTCCTCCAGCACCATAATTCAAAAGCATCAATTCTTTGGCGATCAGCCTTCTTTATGGTCCAGCTCTCACTTCCATACATCACTACTGGGAAAACCATAGCTTTAACTATACGGACCTTTGTTGGCAAGGTGATGTTTCTATGTTTTAAGATGCTGTCTAGGTTTGTCATTGCTTTTCTCCCAAGAAGCAGGCGTCTTAATTTCGTGGCTGCTGTTACCATCTGCAGTGATCATGGAGCCCAAGAAAGTAAAATCTCTCCCTGCGTCCATTTCTTCCCCTTCTATTTGCCAGGAGGTGATGGGACCATTGGCCATGATCTTTGTTTTTTTGATGTTGAGCTTCAGACCATATTTTGCACTCTCCTCTTTCACCCTCATTAAAAGGTTCTTTAATTCCTCCTCACTTTCTGCCATCAATGTTGTGTCATCTGCATATCTGAGGTTGTTGATATTTCTTCCGGCAATCTTAATTCCGGCTAGGGATTCATCCAGCCCAGCCTTTCGCATGATGAATTCTGCATATAAGTTAAATAAGCAAGGAGACAATATACAGCCTTGTCGTACTCCTTTCCCAATTTTGAACCAATCAGTTGTTCCATATCCAGTTCTAACTGCAGCCCTGTATAGGGAAGGGGTTTTTTTAATGTTTAATGTTTTATTATATTTTTATATATGTTGGAAGCTGCCCAGAGTGGCTGAGGCAACCATTATATTTATGATCATGGAATAGGACATCCCTTGTTTCATTGGAGAAATGTTGGAGGGTATGACTTTTCCAATAATTAAGTACATCTCTGACCAGTTTCCCCAACCTTACCATTTTTCTACACTAAAAAGCCTTTTGTTGTAACCTTTCTTCAATAGAGAGTTGCCCAACCACTGGGTCATGTGACGTCCCCTTTTCTGAACCTTTTCCAGATCTGCAATATCCTCTCTGAGATGAGGCAACTAGAACTGTACACAGTATTCCAAGTGCAGCCGCACCAGAGATTTGTCTGAACTACATCTTAGGGTTCTTGTGAGGGGAAACTGAGAGGATATGTAAGGTGGTTCACCAAAACAAATGGCTACTGAAATGATATTTCGTGACATTCTGTTCACACAGGTCCGTCAAAGTGCATTAATGGGCTTGCTGCAATAACAGAATAGCAAGTTGTTATTATTTACCACACACATACACAGCTCAGGGCTGCACACACAGCTCTTCCTCCATTCCACGTTCTCCCCACCAATTCAACCCTGTGGAGTAGGCTGGGCAGAGAGAGAATGACAGGTCCAAATATCTGTGGGATATAAAGCTGTCAGTCAAGTCCAACATTCCAAGAGGACTAACTGCCGCTATGTGGCAGGCAGTTTTGTCAGTTGGTCAGCTGGTCGGTTGCTGCAAGGAGTGTGAACTGGTAACTGCTCGAATGCAGTCTTCTCATGACTCACTACTATCTAGTCTATCTGTTATGTAACCTAAGCCTGCAGGAACTCTGTAAACCTGAATGATAGTATAGTTGTTGTTGTTGTTTAGTCATTTAGTCTTGTCCGACTCTTCGTGATCCCATGGACCAGAGCACGCCAGGCACTCCTGTCTTCCACTGCCTCCCTCAGTTTGGTCAAACTCATGCTGGTAGCTTCGAGAACACTATCCCACCATCTCATCCTTTGTCGTCCCCTTCTCCTTGTGCCCTCCATCTTTCCCAACATCAGGGTCTTTTTCTTTACAGCATTGGACTTTCCTTTCGCTTCCAGGCATATCCACAACTGAGCGTCCTTTCAGCTTTGGCCCAGCCGCTTCATCAGCTCTGAATCTACTTGTACTTGTCCTCCGCTCTTCCTCAGTAGCATATTGGATGCCTTCCAACCTGAGGGGCTCATCTTCCAGCATCATAACTTTTATATGCCTGTTGTCTTTGTCCATGGAGTTTTCTTGGCAGGGATACTGGAGTGGCTTGCCAGTTCCTGCTCCAGGTGGATCACGTTTGGTCAAAACTCTCCACTATGACCTGTCCATCTTGGGTGGCCCTGCACGGCATAGCTCATAGCTTCTTTGAGTTATTCAAGCCCCTTCGCCACGGCAAGGCAGTGATCCATGAAGTAAGATAGTATGGTAGTTTATGTTAATATGATTCAGATTCATGTGTGTTTTCTTTAAGAGGGACAGAAAGGGATTATCAACCAGGAAGGTATAATTATTGATAGGACTCAAACGAGTTAGCAACCTGCTTGTCACTGCATAAGCTCAAACAGGGGATCGTTTAAACTCTGCTAAATTATATAAACGTTCCCACAATATCATGGCTGAATGAGGATTTGAACCAGAGTCTTCACATCCTACTAAGCTACTAAAACATGCTGACTCTCAGCAGCCATGCCAAGTTTACATGATATATCAAAAATAAGACTTTCAGGGTCACATGCCTTGTGGTCCAGGGTTGCTTGTTTGTGTGCTTTGACCCAGATTCATCACTTTTCAATGCTACAGGGAAGGGGGGTGCTTCCTTTGTCCACCAAGAAGCAGAGCTATCAACAAGTATACCCAACAAGGCAGCTGTACCCTCAGGCTTATGGAGACACCACTGGTTTAGCATCAAGAGCAGCTGTCCTCCAGTCTGTAAGAACTGGTAAGGGCCTTCTTGGCCTTGCTCAGATGGGAGAAAGTGGCGAGTGCATTAAGCCGGCCACCTCCTGGGAGCTGTCCACTGTTTCAGATCAGCAGCCTAAGCCCTAAAAGCACCTCGAATGCAGCCATGCCATCACAGTGTTCTGTGATTAGATTGTCAGCCTTCATTCTCACTGCCTGCCAAAGGGATCTAACAGGATAGTATGTCTGAGAGATGTGTGGTCCTAAGCCAACAAGAATACATGGCATGCTTTTAAATCAATTGAAACAAGCTGGATTAAGGGTGTGGTGAATTGTGGCTAGTGACTGACATCCTCTCATCCAAGGGTATGTTTCTTCAGTAGCTCTAGTTCCCTTTCACTTGCTTCACTTCAGCTGACACCTTCAAGCATTCTCCCTGGTCTGTAGATCCAATCCCTTTCACTTCGTTCTTGATTCAACTTACCTTCGCTGTGGGTAAAACCTCAGCGCCTAGGACGTGCCGATCGCATGGTCGGCGGTTCGAATCCCCGCGGCGGGGTGCGCTTACATCGTTCGGTCCCAGCGCCTGCCAACCTAGCAGTTCGAAAGCACCCCCAGGTGCAAGTAGATAAATAGGGACCGCTTACCAGCGGGAAGGTAAACGGCGTTCCGTGTGCTGCGCTGGCTCACCAGATGCAGCTTGTCACGCTGGCCACGTGACCCAGAAGTGTCTGCGGACAGCGCTGGCTCCCGGCCTATAGAGTGAGATGAGCGCACAACCCTAGAGTCTGGCAAGGCTGGCCCATACGGGCAGGGGTACCTTTACCTTTACCTTTACCTTCTTTCAGATATCTGTCTAGTCTACAGGGCACAGAAATCCATGCCTCTGTATACCTGTTATAGGCATGAAGGGGGGGAGAAGTACCGTATTTTCCTGTCTATAAGACGCCCCCATGTATAAGACGTCCCCTATTTTGGGGGGACTCAGATTTAAGAACATGGCCTTGGCACTATCCGTGTATAAGACGCCCCCTAATTTTTGACATGGGACGCGGGTGGCACTGTGGGTAACACCTCAGCGCCTAGGACTTGCCGATCGCATGGTCGGCGGTTCGAATCCCCGTGGCGGGGTGAGCTCCCGTCGTTCGATCCCAGCTCCTGCCCACCTAGCAGTTCGAAAGCACCCTTAAGTGCAAGTAGATCAATAGGGACCGCTTTATAGCGGGAAGGTAAACGGCGTTTCCATGTGCTGCTCTGGTGCTGGCTCGCCAGAGCAGCTTCGTCACGCTGGCCACGTGACCCAGAAGTGTCTGCGGACAGCGCTGGCTCCCGGCCTCTTAAGTGAGATGGGCGCACAACCCTAGAGTCGGACACGACTGGCCCGTACGGGCAGGGGTACCTTTACCTTTACCTTTTTAATTTTTGACATAATTTATTAGGGAAAAAACCTAGTCTTACACACGGAAAAATACGGTATGTCTAATGTGAAAGTAGTGTTCCGCTAATGCTTTCCAATCATTATGCACAGACCAATAATAATTAACTTCATTTGTCTATTGGAAGCCATTTTTGGAACAATTTTAATTCTCTCTTTGGGCAGGACATTGTTTTATTATTTATTTGCTGCATACATGCCAGGATGGCTGCTAAGTGGTTTGCAAGCATAAAATCAATTATGAAATCCATACATAATTAAAATCATGTGATAAAACCATCAAAACGTTAAAAATGTCCCTATTTAAAATATACAATAAGACAGTTATCCTATATACCAACTGTCAATTAATAACAGCTGTTCCAATGAAGTATCAAATATATTTATATGTCAAATGTCGATGCTGAGCTATGAAATGCTCCTGAAATAGTCACACATCCGGTGAATATTTGCCAGCAAAGTTTTTAGAAGATAATTCTGAGGAATATCACTTGAGGCAAATGTATTTCAGTTCTGCGCTAAATCATCCATCGATTTTGCTCATACCTTCTTCCACTGGAAATTTCAGGCAGATGATAACGTGCTCCCTCCTTTTGCTCCCTCCATACTTGAAAGCATCAGTCTTATGTTCCCATACCATCCATTGTAGGGATGCTAGCCCTTACATCAGTGATAGCCAACAGGCTGCTGTGCACATATTTTGGACTACAGCTATTAAAATGCTATTAAAATGTTTTGGACGTCAGCCATGGGCAATGCTGTCTGGGCACAACATTGGCTAACCCTGTCCTACATCAAGCTTACTAATTTAATGGGAACTGTTTTGAAATGTTTTGATCACAGAAAAATATACCTTGCCCTTGTCTACATCTTTTGCAACTCCCCCCCCCCCTTTTTTTCTTTTTTTTTCTTGGATTATGTTAAAACTCGTTTTACAGCTGCTGGTGAAATCTTTTATGTATGTGCATTCCAATGAGACCCTTATTCGATTTTCAGGATGCAGGCCTGCTATTGATCCATGAAATTAGGACAGGATGAGGACTAAAGATTAGCTGAAAGACAGCAACCTTTGCCCATTCTCAACCACAAATGTATTTCCGCCTCAAAGAGATGGCAAATGTATTCCATGGAAATGAAGGCAGTTATGTCCTTGGTGGAGAAGTGATGACATGGTGGAGAAGAAGACATGGCTGATTTCTGATGTCTCCTCAGCAGTGCTGAAGAAAGGGCTGGTTGACTCACACAGCATGCAATAGATGCTAGTCAATGGATAACAGGAGCCATGGGTCAACCTTGCCACACACAAGCCTTCAAAACGTTGCCTCTCATGTCTTGGTGACAATTTAGCATCACATGGTGGTTCAAGTGTAGTGATCCCAAGGTGAGACATCTACCTACCTGCTGGAGTTGCACCATCTGAAATCTGCACCAGGTTTGCTTTCTCACCGTAAACATCCCTGTGCCCACATGATGCCTGGAAGACGGTTGTCTCCATAGATCCAGCCTGAGCTCCTTCTCAATGTAATGGGTACAATTGCTGGATGGTAGAGACATCACATTTATCACATCCATATAGTTAAAGCTATGGTTTTCCCAGTAGTGATGTATGGAAGTGAGAGCTGGACCATAAAGAAGGCTGATCGCCGAAGAATTGATGCTTTTGAATTATGGCGCTGGAGGAGACTCTTGAGAGTCCCATGGACTGCAAGAAGATCAAACATATCCATTCTGAAGGAAATCAGCCCTGAGTGCTCACTGGAAGGACAGATCCTGAAGCCAAGGCTCCAATACCACATGAGAAGAGAAGATTCCCTGGAAAAGACCCTGATGTTGGGAAAGGGCACAAGGAGAAGGGGACAACAGAGGATGAGATGGTTGGACAGTGTTCTCAAAGGAGTGCCTGGCGTGCTCTGGTCCATGGGGTCACGAAGTGTCGGACACGAAGAGTCGGACATGACAACGACTAAACAACAACAACAAGAGACATCACATTTCCTCCCAATAACTCCATGTTGCAGTGGGAATGCTGAGGAAACGTCACTTCCCAAAAATGGGTAGATGCACTAGCTGGAATAAGGATGGGAAGCCTGTGGCCCTCCAGAAGTCATAGAATCATAGTGGTAGAGTCGGAAGGGACACCAAGGGCTATCTAGTCCAATCTCCTTCAATGCAGGAATTTCAAAATCCCATAAACAATGTGGAGGGAGGAAAACTTCGTTCTAAAAGCAAGTTGCATTAGTGGCAATACAAGTTGGATTCAAAGATAATTTAGGGTGGGAATCACTGCTGTTTATACATAACAGGGCATCAAATCCCATTTCTGTAGAATTCCTCTTCCAGTTCATTCTGGAATCGATAGTTTGGCTATTTTATATCATAGTGACAACCGCAGATGGCACAAAAGTGTTTTAATTCTTGGGGGGAAAATTAAGAATACTTTAAAAACTACAGTATAAAAGGAAACCTCTTGGCAGAATTAGACTGAACTTTGCACAGTATAAATATACGGTAGTTTGTAGGGAAGTTAACAGAAACTATATATGAAATATGTAACTGTGTGGTACAAGTCAATCAACAGATAAAGTACAGTGAGACTGATTGGAAGTCATTTTTAATTTCTTTTTTATAAGTTCTATAATTGTTCACACCACTGGGAGTATAAATGATGTCAGTTGTAATAACTGTGTTGTCTCATATATTGTTATTGCTTGTTTGTTAATTTATTGTTTATCTATTCGATTGTATGTTTGTTGGTTGGTTGGTTTCTTTGCTTTCCTTGCATAAATGTATCTATTTTAAAACAATAAAGATATACATTAAAAAAAGTGTTTTAATTCTATTGCTGTTTTTCTTTCCGCGAAGGAACTCCCAAATATGCACTAGCTAAGTGGATTGAACTTCTCTGTCTCCCTCTCCTTCTCTGTCTCTCAGTCTGTTCCTTGTCAATTCACATCAGTTTAAGGTCAAGAAAGCTAATAGGGAACAAGGCGCTACAAGATTTGAACTCAACCTTGCTTTCCTTAGGAACAAAACTGACAATTAGCACAGGGATCAGCATCAAAAAAGAGCAACCCAGCATGAAGCCTGTCTAATTAGTCATATGAACGGAGGGCTTCCCCTCCACTTCCTCAAGGAGCACATGCCTGTCAGATCTTATATGGCAAAAGCCGCTCTCTCTCCAACACAAGGCTGAAAGGCGGTTGAGAACAGGTAACACCAGCTGAAGAACTTAATTAAATCCTTGCCTAAGACAGAAATATTTCATGAGTGCCTATAGGGGCTTCTGGTGCAGTTCATCATAAACGTTTGGCCAGTGATAGAGAGTAGGGGGAATGTGACACCTCACTATGAAAAAGGACCACCTCCATCCCCAGCTTTCACCAGATCTCCTCCAAGATCTTCTTTTCCTACGTTGACAGACAAGTATCAACCCGTGCCAGATCTCATAATGTGTGGTATGAAAAGCTGCCTATTTCTCATCGTCATTTTTCAAATATTATATCTTCCTACCCCAACCCTTTGGGTGCCCGTGAACCACAAGAAGAGTAACTAACTCTCAAGCCTATTCTTCATCCTTGATTTTGACTGTCGTGTTTTACAAAGGAGCGTTCAGTTCTTCTGGCTGAAGGCCTGCTTGAAACAACTGCACTCAAAAGGCAAAGATCAAGTGAGTGGGTTGGTATGCCCAACGGAGGACCTTAAGGTCCATAAATGGCAACACCCTAGAGGTCCCGGGCCCTAAGGAAGTTAGATTAGCCTCAGCCAGAGCCAGGGCCTTCTCAACACTGGCTCCAGCCTGGTGGAACGCTCTGTCTCATGAGACCCGGGCCCTGCAGGATCTGATTTCTTTCGGCAGGGCCTGTAAGACAGAGTTGTTCCACCTGGCCTTTGGCTTGGAATCAACTTGATCCCCTCCCCCTCTTTCTTTTTTCCTTCTGTGATGGAACTCCTACTTGGGGACTTCCCTGGCTTTCTTCTGGCCCACGTAGGACCAGTCTGGATAGTTAGCCTTGGTGAAGACATGACGTTTTCATCCGCAAAAAAAAGTTTTTGAGTTTCTGCTGAAATGAGGCTGCATTTTAATGTTGTATTTTAATCTTGTTTTTTTAAGTTGTATTTCAGTCAATTGTTTTATATCTGGTGTTAGCCGCCCTGAGCCAGGTCTTGGCTGGGGAGGGCGGGGTATAAATAAAAATTATTATTATTATCATTATTATTATTAGTTGCCATTTGCTTCAGTGCCTCGATGTAACTCATTTAGGACTCCTAAATGTGTTTCCTCATCGTCTCAACACAGGAGCAGGGAACTTTTCGTTGTTGCTGAACTACAATTTCAATGACTAAGGATGATGGAGGACCAAGGTTCCACATGCCCACCATAACTCATAATTCTGCTGACTGCATGTATACCTTGCCATTTTGCAGAACACGGGGTAAATGGTATAGCATATGTGAAATAATATTACCCACAAAACAATTCAATGAGTTGAAAGGAAGTGACTCACCCAAGACAACCTGGGGAATTCCTTGACTGAAGCCGGAACTTGCACCTAGACCTCCCTGATCTGACTCCTTGATTTCTTCAGTTTTCTGCCTAAAGTAGTAGGATTTGTGATGCTGTTGCATCCTATGTAGAACTAAAGGGCCTTTGATACTATATTTGACACCAGCCTTTCTTTAGCCATATCACTTGGATTGCATTGTGCATTGCCCTGGTATGATGCACTGTGCTTATTAGAAGGTTGTTTTAAAAAAAAAGTAATAATAATAATTAAGTTTTTACATCAAGTTTAAGGTACATAAAAGTAAAACAAGCATAACAATACTAATAACAATCTGTTAGATCACCCTTCTCTTGGAGGTTGAACCCACTTCTACTTTAAAGTAGCTTGACACTAGAAAAAAATAGGACAGAACTTTGAGAATTTTTAAGTTAAAACGATGCTGAGGATCATATGACTGCTATAACTTGGGAGACACACTAGGCTTGAGAGGATGTTTTATGAGTGAGCAAAGTAGAATTAGAAAGGAAACAGCCCCTTCAAAGGAAATTAAAGTTCTACAGCAAAAGCATTTTTTAAAAATGGTATCAAGAGGTCTTATTATCTTTTACTTTAAAAGCGCACTAAAATCTCCTCTTTAGATAATGCAAAACTTTCATGCGTGCTTCAATATTTAGATCAATCCGGCTATGAATTTGTTGACAAAACTCTAAGTTGCTAGCCAACAGATTTAAGGAAAGGAATCTGAGAAATATGATTATGCCATTAGATTTTTATTACGTTCCTTTTCCAACCTAAGATTCAGGAAGTGTGCAACTGATCAATATCACTCCCTCTGTTTCTGATGTTCAGAGGTGAGTAAAGTTGCTTTTGTAGCCAAAATGGCACTCCTCGTTCACAACAGAGTGTTGTCAATAGGCTTAGGTAAAACCCAAGGTTTGCAAAGGTACAAAAAAAAAAAACTTTAGGCAAAAAAACCATGTGGGAGTGAAACAAAAACAGCCAAATAGCGACTGGACATATTCAGTGAGCATGAATGCTGATTCACTGTTGTTGGGTGTGGTATGGAAAATTAGGTGGGCAGGGAAATCACAGAAAGTCTCATGGAGGAAAACTCCATGCTGTAACATTTTGTTGCTGCTTCCACTTGTCCTACTGTAAATCTGTGCAGGTCAAGGATGCTGTAACAAAAAGGTCCAGATTCCTCCTGCTTCAAGCTACCATGTTTCATGCATGTCATGTGGAAGGGAAATACAGATCTGGTATTATAGCATTCAGGTAAACACAAAATGTCTGAGGGAGGGGGGATGGTAACTGGTTGACAGCCTGGTGAGAACATTATCAGAGTAAGACCATCTGCATTCCTTCCAGGGAGAGAATGATAACTGCTTCCACTCTGGGAAACAATTATCTATGGTGATTGCTATGGCAGAGGCAAATTCTGGGACAGCACACCATGTGACAATTTCATCCTCCTTGTGAAAATGGAGATATTAACTCACACTACATGGTGGCTGCAAAATGAGCTGTTTACATTTAACAGTTTACCAAAATCAATGGGTGATTGTGTGTGTGTGTGTGTGTGCGCCACAGCATACAACCAAAACATCTGCAGAGATGTACAGAAAAATCTGCTGATCAGCTGCTGCACACAAATGGTTCACCACGTAGTGGGGACTGCCACATTTTAGTGGACATCCATGTGTACGCCATCTCTGAAAACCTTGCAAGGTATAATGTACCAAGCAGTAAGAAGACAATGAAGCAATATAATGTCAGCAAAAGACCCTGGAGTTCTTGGGAGTGTATTATAGCTTTAATGCATTGTAGCTATGTATTTCCTATGGAACAATTAATGGTAATTGAACCCATGAAAAGTGGTTAATTATATATATATATATATATATATATAAATCTCTAACTGAAGGATCAGTAAGAAAAGGAGAATTTCCTTAACATTTTTTTTAGCAAGGTTGCTGTAAAAGTAGCCTGTCTTGAGTTGTCAGGCTGTGTATCTGCTCTGGATTTGGGCTTTAAAGTGATGATAAGGAAGCTTTATCTCAAAGCTTGTGTGGTTTGGGAGACACTGGCAGTCTGAAAAGCGCCGCTGAGGCCAGCACAAAAAAATTACAGGCATCAGTGGCTGTGTGAAGTGCAGAAAAGTGGAAAGGAAGACCCAGACCAGCTGAGCAGCGTGGAGACATTCTGCAACAACAACAAAAGTTGCACTGTGGAATGCTAACATTCAGAGTGTCAGCCACCCATCCATGCCATGCCCCTTTCCAGGACACTCCATTCCATTCTCCCTCCCCACCCCCAGTTCCCACCTGCTTTTTAAAATTCTCCAGCTGTGAGTATTGCATAGCCACTGAGCATTGTTCTGTCCTCACTGGGCTGTTTGGGGGGGGTGATTTCCTCCTTAGGGTATTTTACACCCACAACCCCCCCTTTTTTTACAATCTTGGGGTTCCCCTGAGTCTGTCGCCCTAGCTTCTTCTGTGTGGGTGGTTCTGTTTTGGCCGCATAAGCATCCATAATCAGAGAATGAGTTTGCTTTCAGTACATAGAAGTACACACCCAGTTTATGCAGCTAAAGTTTGTGTCCTGGTCAAAGACGTTTGTGTCCACGGTCCTGTGTCCAAAACCCTGGAGATCCACCACTAGTCAGCCTAGAGAATATGGAACTTGAAATATACTCAGAGTCGAGAGTGGATTTCATGCTCTTTATTCAGCTCACAGTGGTGAGGAGGAATGAAAGTTTCCCCAAAGTATCTGCTTTATATACATTATTTACACAATAGGCTGCACGTGATTGGCTAATTCCGGAATTCTCCTGTAGGCCAATCAGGTTGTGGATTCACTTCCATCTGGAGCTGGATTGGGTGGCTCCTGCAGACCAATCAAACTGCTGCATTGTTCTAGGACCAATCAGACTGCTGCATTTTGGATCCTATTCAACTCAGTACATAAAAGAACTAGATGGGCCAATGATCTGGTAAGCTCTTTGGCCTGGTCTCCACCCACAAAGCAGCGTGGGATTTAGGGTAGTGTGGGTGGTTTTCTCCCCGGTGCCGAGCCGAGGGGGTGTAAAACAGCGCACTTGAGAGCATGCACAGAAGGCGAGATGGGGCTGGAAAACTGCGAAAATAAGAATT